TACTTGCATGAAATCTCGGTGATGATGTGGGCAGAAGAAGAGGAACTTGCCAAATGAGTGACGTGTGCCACATCTTACAGCTTTGCAAAAAGTGCAAAAACCATGGGCCTTTATGGGTGGGTGGAAAGATGCTTCTGGAAATGTAGGATCTTCAGTGTTCTTAATTACTGCTAGTATACTGGGTCAAATTCAGGCTATGGATCTCCTAATCTGCAGGATTGTGGGTCTTTTTCTTTGCCTATTTTTTCATAAATACTGCTTTTAACTTTCCTTTGATGGCGAGGCTTTCTCAGCAGCTGCTGTGTTCTGCCATAGAGTTAGCTGCATGCTGAGGGTGGAGAATTCCTTTCTGTCCATGTGCAGTTTCATAAAGCTGGAGTAGCAGCCCTGAAGTTCATAGCTATTTCCAAGGAATGTAGATACTTGTACCAACTGATTTCAGAAGAAGTGCAGAACGTGATACACTTAATGAAATCTCTTAGTGATGGAAAATCTTCCTATCAGCTGAGCTCAATTCAGGCTTGCTGACACAATCTATGTCTTTATGCTAGAAGAAGAGCTGCTCTGTGTGCAGGTGGTGCTGCCTTTCCAGTGCCGTCCCTTGCCATGCTTTCCTTCATGTGGATTATCTTTAGTTTTTGTCAAAAACCACTGCTGGAACTTGCTGTCCTCAGAAGGCTTGCATTTTCTTTCCTGATGTCCTGCAGAGTGCCTAAACACAAGGACAACTCTGCAAAGACTTTGAGATGCTACTTTTAAAATGCATTATGAAAACAGTGTCTAGCGACCACAGTTGAAATAAGTTTTGGAAGTACTTCATGTACAGTTTTATCCTGTTAATTGGTGCTCCAAAGAGACCATGTAGATTGAATAAACTCAGAATTGTTTGCCAGTTTTTTGAGAATCAGTACCTAATACATCTACTGCATGGTCAACTGCTGTGGTCTGAACTGGACAAGATAGTCTCAAAATTAATGCCTGTCAAAGGTGGAATATGTTTAATACAGTAGTTTTTCTTGGGGGGAGAATGGCAAGTCTTATTTTAATTATCTCATACACATTAACATACAGTTAAGATTTAGGTTTTTTAGAAGGTAAAAATCTATAGAAAATATTATGCATCTAATAGACTTCTTTCTAACTAATGGTGTAAGTATGTAATTCAGCTTTAGCCTACATACGATGAAATAGTATTGAAATCACGCTTGTAAACAGCATACATGTCCTGTTGTTGGCTTTGCTTCAGCTGTTTCTTCACATTTGGCTAAGCTCAAGTAATAAATTGCTGTAAAACTGGAATACACTCTGGAAGCAGATTAATCATCTGACTCAGTATTGTCTTTTAGTTTGCCATGAGAAATCTTTCCAATCTATGAGATCATGGATTAGCTGGTTGGACAATTTAGAGAGGCATATAGTACGTTCTCCTTTTTTGCTGCTTTTGAAACTTGTAGAATCTCAGCAAGGCAGAAATGAAAAACTCTTTTCCAAGTTTTACCACAAATACATATTGCAATGAAAAATCAGGCATCTGAATTGATACCTCCTTGTTTTATCTAGTTTTGGACATTGTAGGTGGCATTTATCTCATGAACAGTAGATTAACTCCCAGCCCATTGCAGGTGGGCAGGAATCTTTAAGGCCCTTTCCAATCAAAACCATTCTATGATTTACATGTTTGTGACAATGATTTAGACTTGCCTTAAAATGGGTGAAAAGAAATGAACATTGTAGAAAGTGACTCACTTCAGGTTTCTAAAAACATGTTGCATAAATTTCACTGTAAAGTCATTTTTCTTCCCATTGATGAATAAAGGTAGTGATTGATTCTCCTGTCCTAATGATGCTACCCATGTAGATGCTGTGATGTCTGTTGTGTCCATCCATGGGCAAGGAGTGGTAGTGACTGATAAGGAGATCTAACACTTGGAGGCAATTTGTCTGGATTTGCAGTCTCCTGCATATGCCTTTCCAAATTTCATTACAAATGTGTGCTAAAATATTCCTTCCAAATGTCCTTTGCTGTGAGGATGAGTGGTACACTGCCGAGGTAGGTCACAAATTAGGCTAACAATACCACTCTTGCTTGTGTGGCCAAAATAGATGACATCTGCAGTGATATTTCTGTTGTATTGTTAATTTATAGCATTGTTTTTTTCCTCTTCTGATACCACACTATTTTGCTTCTTTGGCTGTGTTGAAGATGCAATTTTATTGCTCAACATACCGGGATGTAATGATCTCAATGGCAAAAACATTCCATCCTCAACTTGCATAACAAACAGGTTATGCTTATTTTATAATTGAACTTTGGATTCTTCACAAAATGTAGTTTTATTGTATTCTGTGCCTCTTTTCTAGCTTGTACATGCATGCAAAGAGGAGGTAAAGTGTAGTGGTACTAGATTGTAAGCAATCTTGTCTCCAGCTGCAGTCTTACTGAAAGCTGTCAAAATTTTATTTTTTTTCTGCATTCTTGGAAGGGAACTGCACCCAGTGAGGTAATCACCATAAAAACCAAGCAAGCTGTAGGTTACAGAAAGAATGAGGGTTATGTTATCAGAACCCTACAAGAATGATGATAGTGGAAGGTACCAATGTTGTGTCCAAGAAAGGGTTTTCTGGGGCCTGTTGGTCAGTGAGGGTGTGAGGGGAAGAGTCACAGGGGCACACAGAGGGGAGAGGGAAGAAGGGAGAGATCTGCGCATCTTATTAATTATTAGTGGGAGTGATTTCTTATAGGACTGTAAATAAACCGGTGCCAATGATTTACCACTTGAAGATTAATGTCTGGGTAAAATTACTGTTTCTACACACTTAAAAATTAGTGAAATGGATACTTCAATGAGGATGTTTTCTTTTGTAGCAAGGGTAGATCATTTCAACACCAACTGATTTTCCCCTGGGTTTCCTTTAGTGCCCTGCTTTTGGGATTTGGCTGTTTCTCACTGACTGAATTCAGAGGAAAACTATTCCTGATGATATTGAATTTGGCAGAATGGCTGAAGTTTGAATTTGGCTTGTATTGGTTAAATCAAGCTTTTGATTTGGTTGCCTATTGTCCAGTATGCTAATCCATGTTATTTCCAGCTGAGTTAAAGTGTAAAGTCATTAGAACAGTGTGGGGCTTTTGTTTGTAGAGGAAAGGTTAAGTTCTGTAGGCAGCTCTTACTGCTGCCAGCATAGCTGCTAATCTGAGTTTGGGGACTAATTACCTGTAATAGCTACAGGACAGAGTTCTGTGTTGAGCAGAAGTTTGATTAGGCCAAAGTTTGGAAAGCTTTGTCATGGGAAAGTTTTTTAACATTTTTCAGGAACTAATGATTTAGTTCATTCAGAACCAGATACTTACTTTACTACTACATTCAGCCTAATAATATCCTAATGCTGATATTGTGGAAAAAAAAATCCTATATCAGAATTAACAAGCATTTTAAACTATAATAGCCTGTATCTATTTAAGGACTGTCAATATTGTTACATAATTTCTGAGCTGTTTCTTATTCAGCTTTTGATAACCACAATAGGTATTGGGGTTGTGAGGGATGAGGTTGTGAAGACAAAACTGACTTGATGAACAGATTTCAAAACCAGTCTGTATTGGAGTGGTTTGGAGATTAATAGATTTGTAAAAATAATAAAAAAAAATTAAATGCAATTTTTTCCTAGACCTTTATGATTAAAAGTTTGTATGCATTAACATTTTTGGATGTGCTTTTAGATGTATTCAGAAACAGTTGTTTTCTTTTTTTTAATCACTTAACTTTGTTATAAAATTCAATAAGAGTTATTATTATTATACACAAACCATTTAACTTTTGTATTTGCCCTTTTACAAAAGAAGTGGAAAACTGGTTTGGAATGGAGGAGAATTAAGAACACAAGAAATGAAAACAAATACCACCTTCTTCACAAATAGAAGAAATACAGGCTGCAGACTTGCATTGGGAAGAGAGAGAAATTAATTATGCTTCCAGATAGCATAAATATCCATTTTTGCTACAGCACGACTTATTAAGACATTAATTGAAAGCTATGATCCTTCACTAACATTACTTAAGATCATCTAATAAGTTAGTACCTAACTTTTTTTTCAGATTTCGATGCCTAGTTAAATAAAACTTTGCAATTCACTTTAAAAACTGCACATTATTTCCCTGTTTGATACTGACTTTGATGTTTTTGGTGTTGCTTTACTCTTATTTCTCTTAAGTTAACACTGTAATAAGAGACAGTGTTTCTATATGATAGGAATAAAAGTGCTCATTTAGGAAAAATATTCTTATCACTAGTTTTGAGTGGACAGAACATGTAGTCCTCATCATGGAGTTTCAGTCTTGAAGCTTCTATGGGTTACTTCCAAATAATGGGTGAACTGTATTCAAAGTAATGACCCTTTTAATAATTTGCAGGTTTAGAGTATAGTTACTGAGTAATTCTGAATTTATTTGGGGTTTATTTCAGTCAGAGGGAATGTTCTCAGAGTTGCTGGTATAAACTAGGGGTTAGCAGATTAGGTCAGTGTCTGTTCTTCAGTCTGTGAATGGTAGCTTGAAAAAGTGTAAGCCTATCTGTTACCTATGTATTTATAATTTATCTCTATGACCTATGTGAGACACAAAAATCTGGAAGAGTGTGAACATATCAGAAAATGTAGCTCTCTACCTAAATGCTCAGCAGTGTCAGAATGTTGTCTTGAGCAGAACAGTGAAGGGTGATGATTGATCACTGCAGTTCTGACATGCAGATAATTGGCAGTGGAACCCAATTAACAACTGGCCCTGAAGCCAACCTCATCATCACATCTTACTTAAGTATGTATCTTTTATTTACTTATTTTTAAATTCCATCTCTTCCTCTTGGTCACTTAAAAACTTTCTTCCTCAAGAAGTCATCAGGTCTGAGAAAAGCTTTGTTTTTAATTTATGCCAATTGCATAAGGTACTTCTGGGTGGCTATCCATTATTGATAATGCATTTTTTTTCTGCTGTTTTGTTTAGATGACAGTGCCTCTGCTGCAAGCAGTATGGAGGTTACAGATCGCATTGCCTCTCTGGAGCAGCGTGTCCAGATGCAGGAAGATGACATCCAGCTGCTCAAATCTGCCCTTGCTGATGTGGTCCGACGCTTGAATATTACAGAGGAGCAGCAGGCCATGCAGAACAAGAAAGGACCTACCAAAGGTTTGCATTTCAGATAGATGTAAAATAGATAGCGCAGCACAATGACTTGTTCATATGTATTAAAATAGATTATTCATTAGATCTTGAAATATTCAAAATCAACAAATCAAACTAAATAAAATACATTTGAAATTCAACCTGTTAAAAATAGATAGAAAACAGATAGAAATCCATATAGTTAAATCTGTGAGCCTTCTACAATTTACATGAACCAGCAAAGCATTTGCGTTTTCTTAATGCTTAATCCACAATCTACATTTAACCATTGCTACAGCTTCCTTACTTCTGATCAAGATATTTTATAAACTCTTTAGGGAAGGCATTGTCTTCTGTGGGAGAAACTCCTAATAGGCTGGGGGGTTTTTTTATCCTAAAAAATGAATTAAACTTAGGTAAAATGTAATTAAAATTTAATTTAGAGTGTTTTAAGTATCTATGGATCATACAGACATAAGACAGAGGTCTAAGTTAGCACAGAGTTGACATGAATAAGAAGATGGTACAACATTAGGTGCTCATCTACAAAAGAAAGGCAGAGCTGTGGTTGCTGCCTGGCTATCTTCCAGAGCAGCAGAGCCACAGCCAGCAAGGTGTGACAGATGTCACTGCTTGGCAGAATTCTGTGCTATGCCCACTTGCCACAGTGTGCTCTCTTGTGGCTCCTGCTCTGCAGAAATGGGTTTTTCCAGAGAAGCTGGACCTGAACATCCAGCACTTCACAGGAGTAAAGGTTTATTTGAACCCAACCCATGTGATTTGCTGTAGCATGTGAGGCTGCATATGTGCAGCTTAGAGAAATACTCAAGGTATTTTAGGGTGGTTTTAGGAATAAGAGTGGTAGCAACCTAGATGTGGAAAAAGTACTGACTTCACAGGCTCTCTGTTGTCTGTTTTAAGAAGTTGTTTCTTTTGGGGTCCTGATATGCATTAATATTAATTAAAACCTTACTTTGCATAAGAACTATCTTATGTATTTATGAATTTCAAATTTTAAAGTTAGGACTTCCTTTATATTTGTGACCCCACAACAAATACTTACTCCTAGTCATTGATTTAACAGATGAGGTAGGAATTACTTAATTTGCTGAACTGAGATGTCACATTTGTTACAAAGTTTTGTGCTGGGAGATGAAGAAAGCTGAAAGAGACAGAATTACAGAGCCAAATAATGAGTTGGTTGTGTCTCATGCTAGCTGTCAGATGGAATAGACACTAAGAATCTGCAGTCTTGTCTTCATGTTCTCTTCCCTTTCTGCTGTAATCTCCTTATTTTGTCTTTGTTTTATTGAGAAAAAAAATTTAAATATCAGATAAGTTAAATGTTACTAAAGATAGGCTCTACTGTGATAAAATGTTCCATCAAATCTGGTTTTACAAGGGATTAAGAGGCTTCACGTTGGCTGTAAAATAGATATTATCTGATGCATGGAGGAAATAAAATCTAGTAATTATTACTGAGTTGTAACCAAATCTGTTCTTCTTCCCCGCTGGCTTCACTTAGCAAAATACAAACCAGATTTTCATGGATTCTGTGAGCAGAGTTGAACTCTAAATCAGGAGAGGTTTTCTTGGTCATGGCAGACCATTAGAGCCATAGTTCAATGTACATTGAAGAAAAGCTGCTGTAAGCCTATCCCCCTGTCTTTTGTGGCTGGTTTTGTCGGGGTTGTTTTGTTTGCTTGTTTGTGGGATTTGTGTGTGTGTGGTTTGGAAGGGTTTTTTTTTTAATGTATATGTGGCATGCCTGGTTCTCGTGTGTGTGAAATTACAGGGTAAGAAGTTTTACTGTAACAATGCATATAGAGGACTATGAATGTCAATTGCTTTTCCATTGCAAATTACCAGAATGGGTCCTGGTATTTGCCAACAAAACCCACTGAATTTCTGGAGAAGATCGGTACTGTGGCTGTTTACGTAAAGAACTTTCAGTTTGCTGTACATCAGCTGTATCATTTAATAAGGTCAACCTTACTAAACATGAATTATGAACATGAAAGAGAATCTGATGTATTCTCATCACTTGTTTCTTTCCAGCTGTTTTGTAAAATATGATATATTTCACATGATGGCCTATTATTCCTTAGTAGGCACAACTACTTTATGACAAATTATATGCAATAACTTAGCATAAGACTAATTTTAGTTTGGAACAGCATTTTAGAGGCTCCTGATGGAGACTCTTAGGAGAGGGGCCTTTTTAGCCATGAGAGGAGCTGGAGTGGTGGCTTCTCGTGCTTTACCCCTTAGGCTGCATGGACTGAACCTGTTTATTTTTCCTAAATTGTTTAATGACTAATTCCACATTTGGAATTTTAAAAAGTGGAATTTGATCCCACAGAATGTCACAGAAATTGTGTCCATACAAACTGGGGCTTGAAGCATATTATATACTGCTGTTATCATTTGATCTATAGATGAAGTAGGTCGGGATTAAGTGTGTGTGTGTGTTGGGGGAGGTCTGTGCCTTTGGAAAAACAGGATCCCCCCACAACTGTATAAAATCTGGAACAAGAATTTTCATGGGACAAACGACTTCATTTTCTGAGTACTTGAGATTTAAAATTAATTTAAAGATTTCAAGTTTCAGACTTTAAATCGATAATGGAAAAATCTTGAGCTTGTTTTCAGTCTTTGTGTTCTTGTTCTAAACTTGAGCTAAGCAGCTTAAAAGCAGCATACATCATGGAAAGGGAGCGGCTTATCTTGTCCATTTGTGGAGCTCCTTCCCTAATGGTGTTTTGAGTTTTTGCTTAGTTGTTTGGGGTTTTTTTAATTTTCCTTTTTTAATTCTACTACTTGGTGGAGTTTCAGTATGGCTTCCTGCCTTTGTTTTACTTGTGTTTGTTGTTCTTTCCTTTTGCAATTGGTTTGTTTGTAAACTTAACAGCCCTATTAATCCATAGATCAGAGTGTGATTAAAAAAGCTGCTGCTGAGGCTGATAAACTTGTCAGTCCTGCTACCACAGGTAAGACCTTGAAGCACCAGCACTTCCAAAATAAACCTTACTGACAAAGCAGTAATAGCAGTGTGTTACTGACTTTTAACAGCAATGACACGTTCGGGGTTGTGTGACTGTGATGCCAGTTACCACTGGTGTGAACCAGCTGTTGTAAGTAAAACTAAATAGCTCCCAAATAAACAGTGGACTTATTGAATAATGCACAGTTTTTCTGTGTGTTTTGCAAGAGTTTAATGGTGTTGCTTTCCACACTAGCTGACCATTTAAATCTCTATTTCCAGAAGTGTGGGTTGTGTGTTGGTGCTGGATCTGAAGCAAAACTTCTGTTAAAAGTTGCAGAGTTTATTCCTGCTGCTAGTTTCAATTTCATAAGGATAGGAGAGTAAACAAACTCCAGCTAGTTCACTCCAGCTACTCTTTAAGAGGCATACTTTTTAAATAACTACAAATAAGCAGGTCCACAGCTTCTCAACTGTGTAGTTACCTGTGATTCTGTAGAATGCAACACAATCAGTTTTTTATATATAGATTAATTACAACAGGGCAGCAATTAGGAAACAAGCAGCAGAGCTTCCAGCACAAAACTGTAAACATAATTTAATATACAGAAAAATGAATAAAGGAGAAGTAAATAGAATTATGATATCTGAATTCATTAATAAAAAAACAAATAGAGGCTGGGGAAGCCAAGTAAACTTCAGATGTTTTGTATAAGCTCTAAAGACAGCATTGTTAGTCAGAGCATGGAAGTCAGGGCTAGAAGGCACCCTCAGTGAGCACAGAGAAAACTTTCTTCTTTTATCTCCCTTGCTGACTTTCTTTCCAGTCTTGCTTCACTCTTCTAAGCTAAATAAGCCTCATTCCTTCAGTATTTCCCTTATAGGTTGTTTTCTAAATTTCCTCTGAACAAATAAATGACAAGTACATAACAAGTAATGTGTATTCTAAGTTTCAAGACAAAGTTTGTCTTGCAAGTTGCATTCTCTAGTAGACCATATTTACTGACAATCTTCTGAAGGCACAGTTTTTCATGTCTTTTTGTTCAGTATATGAAAACTTAGGGTGAACAAGTCAATAAATGCTTGCTGTCAGTGCTACAATAAGATGTTGTTACATGACATATGACCTATAATTGTATACAATTGGTGCTGTTTCAGTTTAGCCTTTTAGATCTTTTATCCTTGGCAGACTTTTTTGAAGAACAATTCATATGTATTCTCCCTGCCATCCTCTCCAAGTTTAATGAAATTTTATGTTCCTAAAGTGACTTGTGACTGCTGACTTCTCTCAGGTGGTGTTTTCTCTGAACCCTGAGGCTTTTGGCATCTCTACAATGGCGTGTAGTACAAAGTCAGATTTCAAGTGATTCAAGCTTTTTTCCCTGCTGTAGAGAAAGCACTAGTCATGTTTGTGTCTGTGTTTCGATGCTATGATCTACTGTAGTTTTTGTGTTGGTACTCATTGCTTGCGGTTTTAAACACTGTTTTTACAACTAACTTCTAACTACTTGAATGGGACTTTTCTGTTATTCTAATTTTAATTACAGCTATGATATGTAGATCCTTTTTTGAGCCAGCGATTGATCAGAAGAATGTAGGTAGATAATGCCAGCATATTAACTTCACTCTTCTGCTGATTTCAGTAGCTTTTTCTGAATAAAGGGTACAAATCCTTTCTGTCAAACATAAAGCTCACATTCTTTGAAAAAAAGACCTTTTGCAGGGAGTAGAAATTTCTTAATATTTAATTTGCTTGTGGAAAACCTTCAAGAAGACTGAGGGCTGAAGAGCAGGAGTGTCTGGAATCACAATTTGTCTTCATTTCTAGCACTCCTCTGAATGCTATCCAGGTGGGCAAGAGACTGACACTCTTTTGATAGAGTAGGATTGGTTTTGAGGACAACTGTTTTAGCTCTTACCACTAAGCTCCCTGATCTAGGACAGAGTTTTTACTTGATAGGATGATTATCATTACTATTATTATTATTAATAATAATAATAATAATTATTATTAGTTTAAATTCCTCAATGTTAAAACCCTCATCTGTGCTGAATTTGACCATAGTGACTGAAAAATGGCACACTACATGGAAAATTTAAAATATTCTAGTGTTATTTGCTGAGGAAAAAATACAAAAAAGTAAATGGAGGTCATGATTTCATCTTACACTTGTTTTACAGCAAGACCACTGGTACAAACCCTGCCTTTAAGGACTACAGTTAACAATGGAACTGTATTACCAAAGAAACCAAGTGGCTCTTTACCTTCTCCATCAGGAAACAGAAAGGAGACTGTATCACCAGCAGCAAAAAGGTAGGCATCTATGGGAAACCTTATAACCATGGAATTGAAAACATGGTATAGCTCCTCTTTTAACCTTCTAGATATGTAGTTTTTCTTACTTGCAAAGCAGCAGTCTAAATATTTAGTTCGGAAAGAAAAGGAGATGGATTTCATTCTAAGAGGCTTTAAATTTCTTCGTTCTAATTACAATTAAAGTTATTACCATGAGTACTGAAAGAATGCACAATGCTTGGTCTTACTGGTTAGTGTTCATTTCTTGCTTTTAAGAATTTAGTGTAGAGAGAATAAAGCATTTCTACTGTGCTATTGCCCAACATGATGTGAAAAGTGCAAGAATTCTCTGAGTGGCTAGTAGAAAACATATCATCTGCAGAGAAACTGTGTTATCATTGCAAATCAGTATGTTATCTTTGGTGGTTTTCTCTCACTAACAAAATTATCATATAAACTGCATGCACAGGGTTAGCAGTATCTCAGGGAGGAGGAAAATTCTACGCCTAGCACATATTTATGCAAATGAAAACATCCATCTTTAGATATCTTACCATTCGCATGTATTAAGCCCTTATAAAAATTACTGCTCTGTCCCAATTTGCTTTGTGTGTAGCTGTTTTTAGATAGACTAAATGTTTTATACATCTGGGTTATAAGGAATGGAATGGATTGGGTGAAGGAACTTCAAGTTATATATGGCAGTTATTGTGGTGCTAATCTGTGGTGTGGTACATGTATAAAAGATAATAGTTTGGGGTTTGGGTTGGGTTTGGTTTTTTTTGTACATTTCTTTTGTGTGTCTCCTCATCTTTTTGTTGTGATGATGCTGTCAGCTCTGAGGGAGTGTAAGTTGTAGAGATGAGAGCATTAACCCACTAAGATCTGAGGTCTTTCTTGTAAAGAGAATTTTTTTTCAAAGGGGCGATGCTGGTTAAGGACATGCCATGTTTTTGTCACCGTGTTGAAGGGGACTGATTTTCAAGAAGCTCCAGGTTCTGTTATTGTAGAGAGCAGTTACACTATGCACAATTAAAACTGGAAAATACCGTATTTATTTGTGTCATAAAAATGAACTCCTGTGAGCTCTTATGAGCTGGAGCTTGCTGTAGCCTTTGATAGTCTGGTCTGAATCAGCCCTTAACAGAAGAGAAGGGCAGCAAATACTGTCCAAACTGTTCCATTCTTTAGATTTGTGTTATCAGAAGTTTGAAAATGGGTGAAAGAACTTTCCTTTTAAAAAGAAAATGTATTAGTGTTTAAAAAAAAGTACTATTTAGTACATGCTGAATTTTAACGCCTTTGTTCTTCACAAATTATTTTTTCTTAATAACTATCATAATTTCATTCATCCTAATTAAGTTTCAGCTAGTAGTTGTAAATCATATGAGAGCATAGACATTGGGAGGCTTCACCTGTGTACAGAGGGTGTGATTCTGTATGCTCTAAGGTTCAGCACAGGACTTTGTGCCCCAGAGTAGAGTGGATGAAATGCAGGTCAGAATCATACTCATGCTTTCTCTATTCTTGGAGGCCTTTATGTAGTTCAGGTATTCCATCTGGTATTGCCAGCAGCCTGTAGGCATTATCCCAGCTTAGGATCCCTGTAGATAAGTGGCACCCTGTATCCCTTCCACCTGACCCATGTGAAGCCTGGATACCCAGCATGCCAGTGGGAAAGTCCTTGGAGAGCATCATTAAAGAGTATTTTTAGACTGTCATGATTCCTGTGTGAGAAATTCTTCCACAGGGCAAGTATTCAGTGTCCTTTTATTATGCTTTGTCCCTTCTCATTGCTGAAGCAGCTAGGCCGAAGGTGCTTTAAGTATGCAACATGAAAATGTGTATTCAGTTTTGGAACAGAAAAAATATATATGGAGAGTTTTGCTGGAATAGGCGAGCACTTATTAAGAGTACTTAGGAGGATGGGATTGCTTTATGGCCTGAAAAAAGCAGTTGTAAATTCAGGTGCTGTAGAATTATTTTTCCCTTCAAATGCTCTAAAATTCTGTATTGGTGTCTTTAATGTGAAAATGTTCTTATTGTTACCTTTATTAATCTGAATTAAAGCATATTCCTATGGTTTGCCTATAAATGTACTTCAAGAGGAATAGAGTGGACTGGTAAGAACCTCATTGATTTATTACTGTGCAAAACATTTTTTGGTAAATTATTCTGTAATCATTTCATAGTGAACCTTGAAATAACTAGTTGGATTTCAGGGTTTTATAGTTAATGGTGTTCCACACATTCAGTATTCAAAGGTGATACAGTAAGTGCTCCAAATATCTTTCTTGTATGCTGTCAAGTAGAATAATTCATTATGCATCCTTAAGGTGAATTCAATCACACTTTGTATTTATACCGGACCCTTTTACCTTCAGGAACTGCATGTGTTTATGCATCAAACAGTAATGGAAATACATCAGCAAAATCAAGCATCTTCCTTTTGCAAGGGGAAGGACTTGCTTATTTGTGTTAGAAGCTTCTCTCAGTGTTGCACAGTTTACAGATGGTGGGAAATTTCAAGCTATTTTTTTTTCTTCTGATTTCTGCTAAGCAGTGTTCTTTTCTTATGAACTGCTTCCAGAACTGTGTCTAATTTGTAGTGTATGTATTCTTTAGTCCAAAATATGTCATGTGACACAGCAGCTGTAAATAGTATTAAGTGGTTTTGGATGTTTTTAAACTTAATTTTTACGTGAATGCTTTTAATATTTTTTCTGTTCAACACAGGTGCACAATTGAAAAGGTAGAGTTTGAAAAATGAAAGCTAAAAACCACAGGGAAAAAATATTATTTGCTGAGTCATCTTCTAAACTTTTGATCTCCTGTTGAGACTGACACATATCTGCTAGGATTCCAATAGTAAAAAATAGCATCTTCCATTTTTTCACTACCTGTGACCTTATATCCAAGAGAAAGTGCAGCTGGATGGAGTCCTTCCCAAATGTTTTATTGTCTTATGAAAAGAGGGCATACAATGAAATATTTTCTGATTCCTCTCTTCTCCTATACTTAGCACTGTTGAGGTTAAGATTGTATGATATCCAATTGAAATTACATCAGTCTGTTCGTTGAAACAGTTTGTTGTGCATTATTATGTAAATATATGCAAATAGTCTGCATAGGGACTAAGTGTGCATCCATACATTCTCCTGCTTAGAGATGGATGTATTTACTGGTATGTCTGCAGACACAGATCTGATTTCATACAATAGCTGTATTAAATGTGTTGGTTAACTCATTTGAACCCACAGGTTGGTATATGGCTTATTTGCCTTGCTGGATTACCAAGGAGATGTGGTTCAGAGTTCACTACATTTTCTGATTTCCCATTTAATATTTGAAATGGAAATGACTTCTTCTGGCAGGAATATAAAATTGGAGGTAATAAAAAAGGCTTGAGGCTGAAAGGGTGGAACTAACAGGCTTTTATTTGAGTTCTGCCATATATTCTCTCAGTGACCTTATGCAAATCATTTAACCTCTATGCATATTGCTTTTCCATATGTAAAACATGTATCTCTGGATGTCAGTAGGTTCTTATAGGGCCTAATGTGATAATTAAATCCAGATTTTGCAAAGTGTTGAGTAACCTCAACTGACTCTAACTTCAATTAGAATTGAGGGCACCAAACCCTGCTTCAGCATTCAGATCTCAGAGAGTCAATATCCAATTATCCAAGTTAAGGAAGGACTGAAATAACTTGAATAGAGCAAAAGAACAAATCAAAAACATGGATCAACTGGATTATAAATGCATATGGTTGTGATACAGTGCAAAATAGAAAGCCATGGAAAGCCTGGTGATGCTGGTGGTACTGGGATCAAAAATTGTGGTCAAGCACCAAGAGAAGATGCTGCTCTCAGGCTCTGGGGGCCATGTGAACACAGCTGGGAGGTTCTGGGTGCCAGCCAGCTAACAGAGAGCTGGAGTGATTCTGAGATGGGCTGAACAACCACCTAACACAGACAGACAATCAAGAATTACCTGGCTTTGTAAAGCGTTTGCATGTCATCTTTACAAGAACCCTTTGATCAGAAGATTTGATTTTAATATATTTACTAATTCTATGATGTAGAAATGTATGAGCTACTTTGAGTAACAGCTTTTTTAATGCTGACATTGTTTAATTCTGAACTTTGTGCGTAGAATAATTATTTGAAATTTTCATTCTGAATAAGATAAATTTAGTGTATCCTGAGCAGAACTTTCCCTTCCCCCTGTACTCTTTCTTTGGCATGTAATGTGGCTTGAGGTTTACTGCTTAACACTAAATTTGTCTTTGGAATTTGGCCAGTGTGTAGAAGTGATGTTGTGTGTTCCCTATTAAAATCTAAGGTTTTGTGACTCATCTAGGACAGCTTTGTTTCCAGGAGATGAGGGGGAAAAAGGGGGGAAAAAAAAAGGAGGAGAATTCAGACAGTACCTTTCCCAGTAGGGATGCTGGTGCACGCTGGAGGCTTGCACATACTTTGCCTTTCAAAAGGAGACAATCAGTCATTCTTTCTCCCCCAGCAGATTGCAAAATATTACAGTGGTGCAAAACTCTGACAATGGAGATCAAAAGGAAGAAGCAAGAACAAAGAAAACATAAAGAGCTTTGTTTGCAGGGAGAATAAAATACTTTAATATGATAAATTCCTGTTCTTCTAAACTCTAAACACATGGCCCCTAGGAAATTGTTCAGTCGCCTGGAATTAATGTTGTGTGTTCTGTTGGGGGGCAGTGATGGCTTGTAACTGGCACACACACAAACTCTGAATCGAACCTTCAATTAAATGCTCTGTGTAACACTTGTCTCTCAAAGAAAGTGATTTAAAATATTTAGAATACAAATTTAAAAAAGAAATCCCTCTCCATTGAACTTCGGGCGGCAAAACTATTACACCACTTCACAATATCTCTAACAATTAAAGTTATTAGTGAATTTTGCTCAGAGGCGTAATGAAATTAAAGTCATATGTTATTCCTGAATTCATTCTAATTGATTTAAATGAGGGTCAGAATGAGTACTAGACAAAATATTAATGCCATCAGTTTCTGTTTTAAGAGCACTGTGCACTGGTTTTTAATTTCTTTTACTAAAAAGCTTTTATATTTTCTCAAATAATTTTAGTAATGAAGTATATATCTTTTTAATTTTGGCCAGATTTGTTCACCACAATTCAATAGTGCAACTACCTGAAACATTCATGCTATGCAGTGGTATATGTATGTATATATGAGGATTTATTTTCTTGTCTTTGTTGTTGCTTTTTTAATAGTCTTTGTCTTTTAGCTGGATCATCTGTCGTGTTCCTCCAGATAACCTCTTTGATTTTTTTTTTTTCTATTTTTATTATTTTAATTTTATTTTTGAGTGGCTTTACAAATGGTCAGTCTATCGGGGCACTGCTGAGATTTTGTCATTCAAAGATACATTGGTGTTCTTAAATGTATGGTTTGAAATGATCAAACATCTGAGTCAATGAGCACTTTGTTGTTTACTCTTGCACGTGACTTCATATCTTGAAAGCATGCAATTTTGTCTTTTAATGTAAGTCTTGTAAATGTCTTGTTTCCACATTTTATTGTTGCATTCACTTTTTATTCTGCTTTGTTTATGCACCTCTCAATCTGGATTAAGCAGGTCTGTGAATCTTCTCAATGCATGCAAACTGAAAAAGCCTGCTCTAAGGTGAGGGATCCTTAATAGCTTTGTAGTGTTGAAGTTCAGTTGTTTTTCCTTTCCATTTCAATTCAACACGTGGCTGTTCTAGTAAAAGCATTAACATGATAGAACTGTAATTATTATTGCCATTTTTAACATTTCCAGAACTAAATGTCTAAAAATTTCTCATCATTGATAAATGCATCACACAACTTAGATAATAATAACGTCACTGATGGTATCTACATTATTTCATACTAACATAATTTTTATTATAGGGGTGTTAGACCACATTGCTGTCTTAAACAAATTAAAAATTGTGTAACCAAATGTTATTATCTGAAATAATTGCAAATGCTCTCCTTTCATATCACTAATGTGGAAGTCAAATTTCTGGAATCCAGTTATACTCTTACAAACCTGTAAGTTAAATAAGTATTTTAAATTCCTCCTCAGATGACAGTGTATTTCCTGTAGCTGTGAATATTATCACTGGTATTTAATACTCTAGCTAACAAAATTGTATGGTATTTAATACTCTAGCTAACAAAATGTGTATAGTGTGTATAGTGCCAAAACTGAGTTAATATAATGGAGTTAAAATCCTTGTTTCCAACCACCAATTAATGCTTTTCACTGGGCTCTTGTTGTTGAAAGTTAAAAATAAAGTTTGTCAGAAGATAGCATTACTAATTAGTTTAAGCAGTGATGGGCATAAATCATAAGGGTTTAAAAAATTTTAAAACCTGTGGTTAAAATAGTTTTTATACTGGTATGAGACTTTATTATTCAGAAATAAGATAGAATTAAACTTTTACATTTTACTCCCGCCCTTTCATTTATTCTCTATTTCATCTTTTGAATGGTGACAGCTATAAAAATAAAACCCCAAGCAACATTAAAAATTAGTTTCAAATTGTTTCTGTAACTTAATTTTTTTCTAATATTAGTATACTCTGATAATGTCCTTAATTTAATTTTGGTGTAGGCTGATGTTGACGCCTCTTATCCTTAATGAAGAAAATATGCGTCAACATCAGCCTACACTGAAATTTTCTTAACCAGGAAAAGATGCCAATATAATGATTTGATCCTCAAAAATCACACAGAATGTTTCTGTAGTTAATGTATATAATAGCGGAAGGCACATGCTGATAAAGCTATTTAGTGTGGAATAAACATTTTCAGTATCAAGGTTTTATTTTTTAACTGGAGTAGTACTAAACTGGATGATGTTATGAGATGTGAGGACAGTAGTTAAATATTAATAGTACATTCTTTAATTTACTAGCAAAGGGTCTTTTTTCGTGTATTTGACATTGAGATGACTTGGATAATGTTAGTCTAGTGTAGAAAGTACACTTCTGAAATTAAGACAGAACTAAATTCTTGTTCCTGCCTATTGTCTTCCCCTATGAATGTATTCTGTTCTGTCTTTGTGTAATTTTGCATTCTGCTTGCTCTCTTACATTGCTTTCTCCACAGAAACACTATTTTTTTAATTTCAGCTTAATCATTTGAAGCTTCTTTTAATTACAAGAATGCAGCACTGAACATCTGTCCTACCATCGCATGTACCAGAAGGTTTTTTTGTCAAACTGCCTGAGATGCACCTGAACATGCATTGCCTCTGCAGATCAGCCCCTGGGTGGGCACTGCCTTCTTTTCAGAAGGGCATTTGCTTTGCAGAAAGATTCTGGTTCAAGTGTTCCCATCTTTTCTGTAACTGAGTCTCAGTTGAGGTGTTGAAACATTCACCGCCTTGCTGGTAAAAAGACATGGGAGCAGAAATAAGTTGGGTTTTTTTTAAAGCAGGTGGTGTACAGTTGCTAAGCTGCGTGTTTTTTGACCAGGCAGAAAAGTCAATCTTGGTTCCTCTAGTTATGGAGAGCCATCTTGTACCACACATAAAGGGGGACAGAGCCAGAGGAGCTGTCTGAGATGACAGGATAGGGATAGCTGTTAGGGACTGATGGGGTGGTTTGGTGGTTCCATCCTCAAAAATGCATGAGATGAGTATTCTGGTAAGCAGAGCATCTATGGGGGTGTATGGAGGCTCAGGGAAGGGGTGGCTGGGGATCATAAAAGGTGTAACTCGGATGAGACTGGCCTCATCTTGTGCTTCTGCAGGGGAGAAAGCAGTACAGGACTGAAATGGGGGGAAATGAGACCCTGAGGCCGAGTCCTGTCATTCAGCTGCTGCCATGGGGGTGATTTCTGCCTCAGTGTGGGTACTGCTGCCTGAGCTGCTCTGCTGCAAAGGGCCTGCAGCAACGTGTGAAGCACTGAGCTTTTGGGCCTCACCCTTAGCTGCTCCCTCTCTTGCTAAGCACTGCTTTAGGGAGAAGTGCTTTGGTCAATAATTTGTCTCCTGTAAGGTGTAAGTTCTGACTGAGTTTCTCTTAATTTACTAAGTAACACTGCTTGTTTTTGGCTCACATTTTTCCATCAGAGGGAGCTGGATGTCTAAGGGGTGTCATAAAGCCACACAGGAGTTCCTTTGATAGCTATCTTGGCAGGAAGGATGGCTGAAGAGTGAGAGGGTAGGGTGAGCTTTTAGCCTTTGAGAAACCTCCTGTCAGGACATGTGGGGGAATCTAATCTATTTGTACATGTAACTAGGAAGCACACCTTTTTGTCAACAATAAAAAAATGCAGGCTAGCTCACCATTAATTGTAGTTTGGAATATGTTAGAAGTAGTTTTGAACCACAGTGTAATTGATACTGGATGAAGACCCAAAGTTAGGTTGCTTGTGTTCATATTTTGACATACTTTTGGCATTCTTTGTAGTCTGGCTGGAAATGTCAGGCAATATGTTTTTTCTTTAAATCTTTCACTTCTTCATAAGAGAATCCAAAAGTTCAGAAGTATGGAGTGGTAGTCAGAGATTTGAACATGACTCTATGAAATTGATTTAGCCCATTTTCTATTTTATGATTACAGAGAAAGTAGTATATTTGTCTCTGTTGCACCAGGTACTCAGGAAAACTCTTATACAGGCTCTTTAACAAATCAAATTAAGATTTTTTTAAAAAATCTTAGTTATTTTTTATCATTTAAAATCATAGTTATTTTTTTAGGGTCAGTGTTCTATTTGATACATTTCTCAAAAATATTTATTGTAGAATATATACTTTTTCAAGTGCCACTGTGAAACTTGCTCCTTGTTTTATTAGCACCATTAAGAGAACCAGTTCAGCTGAGCGTGTGTCCCCAGGAGGTCGGAGGGAAAGCTATGGAGATTCCAAAGGGAGTCGCAACCGCACTGGTTCCACCAGCAGTTCATCTAGTGGTAAAAAGAACAGTGAAAGGTAATGTTATCTAAGTATCTATCCCCTTTCTTTGCCTCCTACTCTAATAATGAAATTAGTTTCTTTAGTGAACTTAGTTTTTCTTGTTTGAAATATTGGAAGCTTTCTTTTTTCACAAAGCTCCAATTATTGGACCAAAGCTTTTATTAAAACATTTGAAATAAAAACAGGTTTTCATATTTAGATTAAATTTATTTGCCTTATTTCCAAACTATAAACAGTGTGAGAACTTAAAGTTTCCCAAAAAAATTCATAATTATTAAACATGCCTTTTCAAATATCTTAGCGGTTTCCCTTGGTCTTCATATTTCTAACAAGTACTTCTTTGAGCTTCTGGTTGTGGTGCTTTGACCCCAGCTGGCATCTAAATATCACACAGCCATTCATTCCTGTCCTCCAGTGGGATGAGGGGAAGAAAATAGGAAGAGCAAAAGTGAGAAAACTCATAAATCAAGATAAAGGTAGTTTAAGAAGTGAAGGGAAGAGAAAGAAAAACCAAAACAATTTCTGAGAAGCATTCAGTCACCACGTCCCACATGTAGACTGATGTCCAGCCAGTCTCTGAACTATGAATGCCTTGGTCTGAGAGCCAGATTAAAGATAAATGAAGAGAGAGGTTTACATGCAAGTGCTGTTCAATGAAGCAGAATGAAGCGATGCCTATCTCTGTGTATCTCTGGTCATGCTTCTCTGTATTGCTGACAGCACAGAGAAAAGAGGAGATCTTGTCCAAGGATTTTAGACTTAGGATAGCCTTGAACAAATAGCTGTTTCATTGAGGTTCGTCAGTATTGTCAGTACAGGTCAAGCAGTTCTTTCCTGTATTTCCTAGTCAGAATTTAGTTTTGGCCGTTTCACTTGACCTGTTTTATTGCAGTTTTCTTTGCAACAAATGGTGTTGATGGTACTGTTTCACTGTCTCACAGATGATGTGGCCATAAAAACACATTGTTAATGAAGCTCAACTAATAATTTACCTGCTCTGTTTGGACATCAATGCCATTACACAAGTCATTGTCAATAGTGTGGCACAAAATGTTCCTTCCTTTTTACCCCTTTAGCATATTTGCTTGAGTAAGGAGTGACTGAGCTGGTTCAGTAGTATTTTACAACCCAAATATGGGTGATTACAGTATTAATAATTTGTTTTCTGGCTTGTGTTTTCAGCTATGAAGCAAGGCAGCAAGTGTGCAAACAAAGGAACTCTTAGAATAAGTTGTGGGTTGGGATAAAAGGGCAGACTAATAAGGGTGGCACTTTGTGGCTGTGTTCTACAAGCTACCTGAACAGCAGGAAGGGCATGGAGTCTTTTACAGGCAGCTTGAAACAGCCTCAAAGTCACAGGCCCTGGTTCTTCTGGGGGAATTTTACTATCCAGACATCTGCTGGGGAAGCAACACAGCAAAGCACAAACAGTCCAGGAGGTTCCTGAAAAGCATTGATGACAACCTCCCGTCACAGGTAGTGAAAAATTCCACAAGGAATAATGTGCTGCTTGACCTTGTGATTACAAGCAGAGAAGGCCTTGCTGGAGATGTGGAGGTTGGAGGCAGCTTTGGCTGTCGTGACCATGAGGTGGATGGAGTTCAGTACCAGGAGGGGGTGAAGCAGGGCAGCAAGTAAGATTTTAGCCATGTACTTTAAAATGGTCTTTAAGAGTTAACTTTAGCCTGTTCAGGGATCTTGGGAGAATTCCATGGGAACAGGACTTTCAGGGAAGAGGGATCCAAGAGATTGATTGATATTCAAGGATCACTTCCTCCAGGCTCAAGAACAGTGCATCCGGATGAGCAAGAATTCAGGAAAAGTGGATAAGAGACCTGCATGCATGATAAAGGAGAAGGTGTTCTGGTGGGCAAGCTGTCCATGGGCCAGCAGTGTGCCCTTGTGGCCAGGAAGGCTAGTGGAATCCTAGGGTGCATTAGGAAGAGCATTGCCAGCAGGTTGAGGAAGGTGATCCTATACAAAATCATAGAATTGTCATGGTTGGATCATCAAATCCAACCATCCAATTCTGCCCTTCTATATTCAGCCCTGGTGAGGCACACCTGGAATGCTCTGTCCTGCTCTGGGCTCCTCAGTACAAGAGGGACATGGAGCTCCTGGAGCGAGTCCAGCTGAGGGCTACAAAGTTGATGGAGGGACTGGAGCACCTCTCTTAAAGGTGAAGGCTGATGGAGCTGGGCCTGTTCAGCCTCAAGAGACAACTGAGAGGAGACCTCATCAGTGTCTACAAGCATCTGAATGGAGGGTGTCAAGAAGGTGAAGCCAGGCTCTTCTTGGTGGTGCCAAACAATAACCAGAGGCAATGGGCAGAAACTCATGCACAGGAATAGGAGGAAAAATTTTTTTACCATGTAGATGACCAAGCACTGGAACAGATTGTCCAGAGAGACTGTGGAGTATTCCTCAGTGGAGATGTCCAAGAGCTGTCTGGACATGATCCTGTGCCATGCACTCCGGTATAACCTTGCCTGAGCAGGGAGGTTGGACCAGATAAATAACTGTGATCCCTTCCAACCTCACCTGTTCTGTGATTCATTGAAAGGCTTAGCAAATTAAAGGAATAATGAAAAAAAATAAATACTATCAGAGAAAATGTTATAAAATTCTAACCAAGAAAAATGTAATTACACCAATTAACATCTTGTTTGCATTCTGCATCTATGCATGTGAATGAAGTATTGATAAGCCAATAGAATTCCACAGGACTGGATTTTCTGGTACTTATGGAAATTTGGCTCTATCTTAACATTTAAATTTTCTTCCCTTAAAATTTTTGTAAGATAATTATAAACAACAAATAACTAGATGTGGGTTTCATTTTGTTTCTAAGATTGTTGTACTTCAAGATTTCTAAAAGACAAAAATAACTGAAAAAAATTACCGTAGCAATATGTAATATCCATAAATAAATATTACTTTTGAGAGGAAAAGCAATCTATTATTAGTTTACTTAAGAACAAAGTATCTTTCTGCATGTGCAGATTTGAATAAAATCTTTTCTCAGACCCTTGCAGCACAGAGAATGTATATCTGCACACATCTGAATCGGCAAACCAAACATCAACCGTCTTTGCAACAAGTGAGTCTGAAAGGTTTGAAAGGCAAAACCAGGCAAAACCCATGATGACCAGTGAAGGGACAGCTAAAAAACCAGCTCACTCTTAATTTAAGCTGCAAATTCTGTGAAGTGTTGCAATGGTGTGGAACTTCATGCAGCTACTTTGCCTTGATGAAATCAGTAGCATGGAGCTGCTGTTTTCTATATTGATCTCTTGAAACAGTTGGATTTTTTTTCTAAGGCTTTTTTTTTTGTTTTGCATCTATCTATAACTTCCTACTCTATCACACATATCAAATTATATCAACAGCCATTATGTGGTGACCTCATTGATTAAAATAACTTTATCTTCTATAAACAAAACAAACATCTTAATGATAGTTTTTGTTAAAAAAACAAGCATCAATACTTATATGGGTAGAGTTGTTTCTGGAATATGAACAGCAATAATTTCACCTACCAATAGTGAATCTCATTGCTTTTCCAATTTGATGTAGTAATTTACTGTAGTTTTAGAAAAACTTTTAACAAATGTGATCCTACAGTACCTACCCTTATTCTGTTTATTTTATCTTGTATAAAAAATTGCATTACATCAAGTGCCCCAAAGTTTAATTCAGTGTGTGTTGTGCAGTGGAAGATCGACATGTAAAAATCTAAATACAATACAGTGCTTTGCAAAGTCTGTTTTATGGCTATATCTCTGATCCTGCTACCTGTTTAAGATGACAATTATCTGAAATTAGTTATATGTTAAGGTGACTAAACACATAAAAGTGAGACTATTAGTAAGGTTATTCACTTAAATTAAGGAAAGCTATGACTTCTATGAGCTATATAGATGTGCTGTACACTTGAAAATTGATTCCAAAATAGCCGAGAAATCAAAACACTGCAACTAAATAATGGTTATCTGCAAAATGTTTTGCTCTAAGGTCGTCGACACTACTTGAGATTAATTTTTAATTTTTATATACTATTTCAACAGAAACTTAGTGGTTATGTCATTTTGCAATTATTAGGCCACAAAGAGTTGAGCAACAGCACTGATCAGAAATCACTCACTTAGGACTTGGGGAGGAGGTCCAGAGCACAAGGCATGCAATGCTTAAATAAAGGGCAAGTATTCCAAGGAACTAATCAAGAGCATGTGTTAGATTGCCTCAACTGGTGCTCGTGATGTTGGTACCACTGTGAAAACAGCCATTGTATGGTTAGAGACTTTTGCCCTCATTTCTGTCCCATGCAGCCTGTTCAGCACCCCAGCTTTCACCTCCTTGAAGAATGAGTGTCCTTATCCTGTGGAAGAGGCTGGCTAAAGACTTGCCTCATGCTTCCTCTTGAAACTGAGCCACCATGCAAAATACAAACCATGAGTCATGGGAAGGAAAATGATGATTCTGTACGCTGGGACTAAGACTGTCCCCTGAAAGCTGACTGTATGTGTGAGTGAGGGAGAGTGTGTTAACCTAACCATCTACTCACAGTCTGTTTGTATCCTTGACCCCTTGGCATCCCTTCCAGCTTGAGATACTCTAGGACTGTTTTTCAAAGCATATAGGGCTGTAGGCTGTTATGCAAAGCCAGAATGCTATAGAAAGCTCTTTCAAGAAGCTTTAAGCATAAGGAGATGACTATAATCCCCCATGCTACTATGAAGTGTCCCTACTCCTGTAGCTATTAGCCAGAAGTAAGCCTTCCTGAGGATTAGTTAAGTAAGATGTGACTCAAGTTCCAGAAAAAGGGTAGCCAGAGCTCTGAGCTGTGTGCGGTTAGGGTTTGTGTAATTAGAAGGTACAGATGATTTGTGTTATTACTGTCAGGAATCAGCCTTTCATATTTGTTTGATTAGCTTGAATAAGTCAACATGGTCTGTTCAGAACTAGGGACTGTTTTGTCTTTAATATGGCAGCATTTCTGACTAGTGCTCCATCCCATAAAGTTTTTTTGTTTTCTAAAAATATCTTCATTCATAAGAGAAAGTGTTCATCTTGGTGTTAACAATGGCAGCACATCATGCTATTTATATAAATGACATTGGCTGTGTATGCCAGCTTGAAGCATGTATTTTGTTGCACGATTAACACAAAGGCTGATATTATCGAAAGTTGCTAAATTGGGAGTAGAATCTGAAGTAATTTGGTTTGTTTTGGGTTTATCATTAAGTAAAGTGTTATTCTCAATAAAAGTGTCAAACCAAAGGGAGAAGTACAATAGAGTTATTTGCTACATCTTTCATTGTAGTGAGAGAGAATCTTTAATGCTTAGAAAAAAACCTGTGTGCAAAAATCCAACACAGTCTTGTTTTGTTTGTATTTTTGGTTTCTCCTTATCTGCCCACTGCAGTCTAGGAGAGGGTGTTGAGATGGCATCAAGCTCTAGGAATACTTCATACTTCAGCATTTCTCATACTTCAGAATGATAGGAGGTTCAGCCCTTTTGGAATCACCCTAAGAAACTTAGAGCAGTTATCTGATACTTCAGAAGTTTTATTGCATTAAAAAAGAGGGAACTGGGGAGAAAAATAATTGCATAATATAACTTTGTGTCCCCTCCATTCTTCATCCAAAACAATACCCTCAAGCTTTATTTACAGGGGCAAAGGACAAAAACCACAAATGACTAGCATTTCTTAACAAATATTCCTTCCTTCTGGCCAGGGTACTACTATCCAGAGAGCTTCTTAACATGCTGTATGTATTTTCCCCTCAAATTTTCCCAAATATTTTCTCAAGACCAAAAGAAAAACCCATTTCCAGTTATCTTGCAGGCAGCTGTGCATTGACAAAAAAAGAAGACATTTTAATCATGGTTATGTGCTTTCTGTGTTTCATCAAGTACTGTCATTCACCAAGGAACAACTGTTCTATGTTTTACATGAAGCCTTTGGAAAAAGCAGGATTCAAACTTTGATTTGCTCCTTAAATCCAGGCTGGAAACAAAAAATGATACAGCTGCTTGCCTGTGTTCTCCTGCGTTAGCTGGACTAACTTCACTGAAAAAGAGAATTGGACAGTTAGTAGAGGAAAATCCATAATTTTGAGAATGTAATGAAAATCAAATGCAAAAGTGCCATTAAGGATGTTTATTGGTTTTAACTGTGTTTGCCTGGAAATTTACTTAGTAAATAATTTAATTGAAAAAGTATTTTATTCATACATACACTGAACAAAAATTGATATTATTTTATTTTTGTTTTTATGTTACATTGATACATATACATGTGCAGATTTTATGTGTGTGCTTTTAAAATAGTAATTTCTTCATTATTTTCACAGCAAACCCAAGGAACCAATGTTCAGTGCAGGTAGGAACTTTTAAAATTTTTAAGCAGATAGTTACCGTGATAACATATTTGGGTTCCCCCACTAGCCCCCTTTCTTTTGTGGATGCCTAGAAATTGCTATTGGGAATCTGAACGTGATATATACAGGCTGCTGCTGATATATTTTTTAAAAGTTGATCAGTTCACTCTAGATTTTATTGATCCAATAGATTTATTTTACAGTTGGGATTCTTATAAGAAGACAAGGGCAAAAAAGACCATGTCTTCTTTCTTCTCATATGTCTTCTCTTCAAAGGAGTATTAAGGTTTTTCTAATTAAAGCAATGCCAAATTCCAGTTATGATGCTGTCATGTTAATCATAAAACAGTACCCACTGAAGATTGCCACATCTGTCCCCAAATTGTAATGTAATAGAAATTAAAAGGTGTTTTGTTATTACAGTTTTGGTAATCTATCTTTAATTTAAAAAGCACTTCAATTTTTTCTAACTTAGGTATTATCCCTGCTGAAAGATTTTGAAAGTGAAATAGTTTGTGTAAGTGAAAGCAGTGTTTGTTGTTGTCATTAGACAGTTAAAAATTTTGAAGAGTCAATAAAAATATGAAGCTGCATAGTGTATGTAGCAGTTATTTTAGTTCTGAAAAGCCAACAACAACTAAAATAAAGATTTATTTTAACAAAATAGGGAAAGGAAAAAATGCTGCTGATTTATCAGCTGTATTGTATTCTTTTTATGCATAGTTCTATGACAGTAATCATACATTAAGCTGAAAAAGTTGGAGATCTTTTGTTTACTGCATGGATTGATCAGCATCCAACAAAGCTCTTAAGCCATATTTCATGGTTTAATGTGACCGATTTTGCACATGAAATGAAATAAGCACTTAAGTCTCCTGTGACAATAGAATCATGGTTCATGTCCCTTCCATAAAAACTGATGGTTTAGAGAAAGAAAACTTCTGATTTGCATAGAATATTCTTTCCTTGCCTATTTTTTCTCCTTCCCTTATACCATGTAAGCAAAGGTGTTTGTAGTAATTTTTCTTCTACCATTTTCCCATTAGTAATTAAATAAGTGTGACACTACATCGATGTCCTTCTCACCTAGACAAAATTCCAACTGAAATGAATGTTTTATCTAAGAAGGTTATATTGGCATTTTATTTAAGTATACGATTACATAATTGAGTTTAAGCCAGTGTTTTAATGTAGAACCAAACAAAGGCCCCCAGCTGAGGAAAGAGCTTTAGAAGGTAATTATCCAGTGTATGGCCCAGTGTTTTGTTCAAGCCCCAGGTTAGCCTGCAGCAGAATAAGGCTGGACAGCCTGTAGAGCAGGTATTTAGAGAGTTATTGTATTCAAACACATCTTTATCTAGCCCTTCTGTCTCTGTCTCTGTAATCACAAGGGAAGCGCCGTGTGACACACTGCAAAGGTAGGCTTCACTTCCAAAACCTCATAGCTCTCGAAGCAAAATGGCTCTGGTGGGATAAAAGCTCAATGTATATACAGCTGTTTTCTAACTTGTGTGCATTTTGCAATGTTAAAACTTTTCTAGTTCTTTTGAGTGAAACAAAAAATGTTATACCATTTATTATGTGATCTACTGAATTATAACCCTCAGGTGCACTTTAATTGTAATAACGGGTTATAATTTACATTCCTGTGGACTTATTCCTAAGAATTTGAATTAGGAAAAAAAATGTTGAGAGAGCTATATGGCAACACGTGGATGTTCACTGTGTTTGAAATGGCATTCTGCACTTTTGCTGAAATTCGTATAGAATTTGCCCCTTTGTTGGCTGTTTTGCTGTTAGCCTAACATAATCATAGAAGCCTTTGTTCTCCCTTGCTTTTTCTTACTGAGTAGATTGTAGATTTTTCTGAAACTTAAATAAACAGACCTAGGCCTACAACTAATTTCTCGTTGCTTTTTGCTTAGTGACATAAAGCAGAGTTACATTTTGTCAACATACCATGTTGGTGTCTAAACTTTAGTTAAGTTGTAGTGTAAATATGCACATTTTTGATGCATGTTTATATCTGTGATCTGATCACAGGTTTATCTGCTTTTTAGAAATAGCTATATCCTAACAGTTTTACCATTAATCATCATATTTCAGCTTTGCAATAAATGTGAATTTCACAAAGAAAAAATGTTTGTTCTTAAGGCAAAGTCTATTAGAGAGTCTCTACCTCTGTGTATTCTTTGTACAAATTTATACCTGCAATCAGTGGTGGTCTCCTTTGCAGATCCCACTGGCATTGATGTATCTTCTTATTTCAGTTCATTAACTGTCAATTTATGCAACAACAATATCAAATTTACAAAACTGCAGATGTAAAAGATACATTTGTCTAAAATTTTCACTGTTGGTCTGTCTTTGTAGTTTGATGATTGTCTGTCTTTACATCTATATCTTTACATTTAGTACTCTACTGTCTTATAAACTTACTTAAGTATGAAAAAAAGGACAGAAATTGATTGTGTAGATAATGTATTTGGGTTAGGAACAAAAATAAGTAGAGATGGATTATTACTAAAAGTTAGAAATTAATGCACAGTATGACTTCTATGCCTGACCTAATCAGCCTAAGTTCCTCTTTGGAGTTAGGAGAGAGGCATGCACACATTCTGAAGGCACAATTTATATGCTTGTTGTAATATACTTGGTATAGTTTACTGGCTAGTATATACTTTCCTAGTCTGGTGTGACTAGGTCAGATGCTCCAACTGCAGATTGCTAAATGAGAGTTTTATGAGTCCCACAAGCTTCAGGTGAGAAAAGCACCTCAGTGAATTAAACTTGGGTTCATTCACAGCCTTAGATAAGTACAGCCAGTAGTTGTCATTGCTGAAAATCTGTTGACTTCCAGTGCACCAGCATCAGCAGTGTTGGCATGTGTTTGAAGCTCATTAAATAAGTGCTGCATGCGCATACAAATAGTGTCGTAATGCTTTGCTATTTAATGCTATACCCTCTATTTTATTTTCCAATACAGATATATTGGAGTAGATTTTTAAAAACAATTCCAATATTCTTTCATTTTAATGGGCATCTTGAAGTTCCAACCTTCTGTCACCATTATGTCGTCATTACTATCTCTTCTTTTTAGCATTAAGTTTTCTGTTGCTTTCATTTTATGTATGCATTCTATAAGTGAAGCTAGAGAGACCTAGCTGTAACTTTACTGTGACAGATCAGGTAGAACTCTTTCCCATATGACGTAGTCTAAAGGCAAAATACACATCTAGTTAGGATAGCTATGATGTTTATTTGTTCAATCAATAATTCTTATTCATTTAGTCAGGATTTATAGCATATGCATATATCCAGTTAAAATAAAGCCTTAGCTTTCAAATTTTAAAAATAGTTGTATATTTGTAATGATACTTAAAAATTCATAGCATAATTTAACAGTCCTAAATTGTATAATTTTTTTTTCATTTACATGATTTTTGTTACTTTTGCCCTTCCATTTCCTCTGTGCCCACGATTATTCTGTCTAGTAACTCTACAGATGTCACTGACTCCAAAACTGCTTGATTCGCATGCGAACAAGGCTGAACCCCTTGATCTGCCGATGGAGCAGCAAGAGCCAGCACGTTCTGAATCTGGACAAACTTCATCAGAAGTTCACAGGACACCCACTTTGGCCTTGCCACTTCCCAAAAGTCCTAGTCAGACCTTCATGGCATTTGCCAGATCTCCTAGTTTTATAAGCCCCATGAAGTCCCCAAGTCAGTACTTCCAGATCTGTTATTAATCTCTGCTTCTCTGCCCCAAAAATATTTATTACCAGTTCAACACATTACTTTTAGTATTTTCTTCTAGAAATGTTTACTTCTGTCAGCCAATTGAGTTTTTGTAGCTTCTCTCCTGTATGTCATTTTCCTTTCTTTTAATGTGCTGTCAATGTTGTCATTCTTTTTTCAATGTTTAGTAATTCTTAAAGCACATATCTTTTCTGCATGTACATCAGCATGATTCCTCTTACTAATTGTTTGTGTTCCTAATTTCGAATGTATCTCTAACACTGTGTCAAGTGTAAAGCATATCTTTACACTGGGATGCAAAGAATGCGACTGAGTGTTGGAAAATAATTTAGATGCTGATGCTCAACTGTAAACATTGATTAAAAAATAAAATTAATTTTAAGTGGCATTTCTGCGTTAATTGTAATCTTTGATGTATTCCCCTCCATTTTTAATATTTAAAAACTGTAATATTGTAACATTTTTTTTAAAAAGTTTCAATTTCAGACCTTTCTGTTTTGTAGTTCTTCATTGTTTAGTTCTAATTCTTCTACTCAGAATATTTAGAGGAAGAAGGGACTTCATATGTTTTTAAAAAACTGTGGTTATGATTTAGGAAAAAAAAAAGCCAAAAACAAAACCCTGCTAAATTTCTAAGTTTGAGATTGCATGTCATTCTGTAATTGTAATGCACCAAACTTTTATGTGGGAAGGGATGGAGGAGCACTGGAATTCTCCCCGGTGGCTTTTTTGTGTAACATGAAACATTTCTGACCTTTTGTAGAGGAAGGATACGTAAAAATGTTTCTTCGTGGACGTCCTGTTACCATGTACATGCCCAAAGAGCAAGTGGAATCTTACAATTTGGAAGCAAAAGTAGAACTACCAGCCAAGAGGCTTAAACTGGAATGGGTGTATCCTTTCTGTGCTGGAGGACTACTGGAAATCAATCATTCCATAATGATTTGGGTTAAATAACTTTTTGAGCTCAAGTATAGCAGGATTAAGGTCGTAGGGTTCATTTAATTGGTGAAGTGACATTCCATTGAAAATAGGTAATAATTTCTCGAGGCTGCTGTTCGTCACCTTGTAAAGTACAGGGTGGCAGCTTAAGAAAGATTTTGCTTAAATGTTGCCTGAAGGTTAAGTCTGAAGCATGCTAATTAACCAAAGATTAAACTAGGCATATCATAAGAATGTAGTGAACTGGGATTATTAATTATAATATGCATAAAACAAGCTCATGGTTTTTTCTAGTTCTTTGCAGTAATTTGTCATTTTTAACTGTTTTATAAAATGTGCATAATTTTCCTTAAGAGTATTAAGCCCTGAATTGAGTAGTGCTGTGCAACTGATATGTGCTTAACCATAAAATTTATAAAATACAATATATAAAATAATATTTGGATTTGTATCTTAAGGGGGCTTAAACACCATAAATACTGCACAACCAGATTTTTCCACTGACTTTTATGAGTGGTCATAATTGCAGAAATATAACTAGAAATAAATTAGCAGTTCTTTACTTACAAAAGTTTTCCTATTTGACTTTTAGTATAGTGATAGAATATATTCTTTATTTAAGAAAAAAGACACTTCACTTTTGTATAATCGTATTATATATAATAGATGATTCAAAATAAAATATAAACACAACAATATCTGAGTCTATTTGTAATATCCATTATCTTTAGAGACATGATGTCTTCATAAGGTTTTCTCTTTTAAGAAAAATCTCTTTTTTTGGTTGCAGTGTAAATAGGAAATTACTTTGTCTTCATAAAAGAAGACAGACTGCATATAGTCTTTTTCAAAGTTGTATAAATAGAACTGCATGTGGTTTCAGAATGTTCAGAGAGTTTCCAAAAGTCCCTTTGTATTCACAAGAGATTAATGACAGATTTAGTAACCATTCTTATTATTCCTATTGCAGCTGAGGCTGTAGGTTCTATCCCATTCTGTTGGAACTGAGTAGATAGTGCATGCACAAATAAGTGAAGATGAGTTTAAATGACAAAAAATCCATAAAATTAATAAAACAGGTGAGATTAGAGTGATAAACACTGCTTGCAGCATTTTGCCATCTAATTGTACAGGTTCTTACCATTTATCACAACAGAATTGAATGATGTCTTTTGCAGTTGTAAGGAGCTCCTCACTCAGGGAGCCTAAGGATGACAAGGAGAAAGTGTTAGAAAGCTTGCTGAAACAACAGAACAGCCAACCATGAAACAAAGCAGAATGTCATTAGCAGCACGTAGGTGGAACCTGACGTCAATATTTCAGACTATTATAAGAAATTATAATTAGGGTAGGTCATGATTTCAGTCTCATTAGTTTCTCACTTAAGCTTATTTAAATGACCGAATATTTGCCAGATGGACTATTATTTTTAGTTTGAATATTCATATGTCCTTCCAGGTGTGTGTCTGTATACCCAGCAGAATCCTTTCTAAGGTCATCTGTGAATAGAAGAGGTGTGAATTAATAAAACAATCTAACCCTAGATGGTTATTCTAAATGGTACTGGGGAGGAGGTAGGTTTTTTTTCCAAAAATACTGTGCTAGCTTCTTCTGTTTCTAATTTATTTGCAATTAAATCCAATCATGATAACCATGCATAATATTTATAGCAATGACTAGGTATATGGAAGGTTTAGAAAGACAATTAAAAAGTAATTTTAATAAAAGAGGGAGGTAATGCCCACTTTACAGACTATAACAAGGAGAACTGTGAGGTATAACTGTGAGCAGGAGCATAAGATCATTTAAGAAGAAAGACAGATACAGCAGAAAACCAAGGAATATTACAGGCATTCATTCCAGTTGAGTTGGAGAAGCTGCACTGTTTGATTGGAGGGTAACAGAACTGGAATAGGAAAGAAAACATCATTGTAACAGACAAATGAGTCTAGCTGTGGGAGTACAGCCAGAAACGCTCTATAATGTAAGAATGGGGATAGGGAAACAAGATATCAGAGGTGGCATGGACAAATGCAAAGGAAAGCAGACTGTGATGAAAAACAGAAGGAAGAAATTCTAATGTGTGTAGGTTTCAGGGCATAGCAGAACCATAAAGGGTTATTACAGTCAAGTTAGCAGCTGTCTGGGTAAGCTGGAAAAGGGTCACACCTCTGATATAATATGATATATATTAGGACATGAAGAAAGAAAAACACTGAGTGATGAAGTGTGAGGGGGGCTAGAGCAGAGGTGGAAAATCCAAGTGAGAAATCAGTGCTAGAGACATCAGGGTGGGAGCAGTGGCCTGCCCAGATCCATTTCAGAGCAATTCACTTGGCAAGCAGGAGGGTTGAAACAAAAACTGCAGGCTAAGTGAAAAGAAAAGGTCAAGGTAGCATTCCCTGAAGTGAGAGCCCACCAAATCCAAGTTGAAGCCACCAAATCCGAGTGTGGGAAACAGTGAGAAGAAGGAGGGATCAACCCCAGGAGTTTGCATCTGAGAAAAAAGGCTGATAGAAAGAAATTGAGTGTTTGACAACAGCAGTCGTGCGAAGGGTTGAATGCAGCATTGTTCCCCACAGGAAGAATGGTAAAGAAAGGAGATTTTCCCTAAAGAATGTAATCTTTCCTATTTAATGGTGATTTTTGTGCACTGAGATTTGCTCCTTTTACACATGACTGTGTAATGTTCTTCACTTTTTTAGAAGTTCGTTTTCTTACATTAACTTTAACTTCTGGTTCACTATAAATTTGATTATATGATGTTAAACTAGGGAAATATGTTGGCTTCATACATAATGGTATCTGGCCTTAGAGAGAAAAATAAAATTAAACAAATAAAGCATTGTCCAGAAATCTAGAGTAGTAACACCGATACAGACATTCAAATTGATAATAAATTATTTATAATTGAAGATATTGATTGCTACAATGTCATCACATTTTAATATCTCAAACTTCAAGAAACTTGGGCTGAGATGTTTCAGTTTATGAGACTAAAACCTCTATATCTGAATCCACACTTTAATAATTAGGTATGCAGCACTAGTTCTATTGCATTTATAAGAAAAAATCAGCAAGCTGTTTATTCTAAAATAGGTATTTATATAGGATAACTATTGCCCTTATTACTTCAGCAACATTAACATGACTATTTTAGTTTGAGTGGGTTATCATTGACAATACAGAATAGCACACAAGTATCTTGTTTAGATCATGTAATTGGGGTTTCATTATCTGCCCATATATTTTTCACAGCCAGTTTCTCCATATTGACTGCATTAGAATGCAGTTCTGTTTTGCCAGGATTCTGCTAATGCTGTTTCTTTCTGTTCCCATAAAAAAAAGAAAGCCAAAATAGTTGTAGTCCCTAATGACTCTTCAGAAGAATAAAACTACAAAATTTGGCTGAATTAACATTAAGTCTAAATGAGATTATTATTCCAGTCATTTCATTTCATTGAATTAATTTTAGATTCGTGTTGATATGACTAGCATCAGAATCTGGGCCACTGCCTTTTAAATACTACAAAAATAAATTGGAATGGATGATGTAACCCTTTTATGCTTTTTATCCATCTGGCTGGTCATGTCCACATTAATGAAATCAATCAACCTGCACACAGGATAATGCAATCAATCCTTGTGTAATGCAGAGAGATGTGCTGAATGACTTATTAGTGTTTTTACCAAGTCTAATTTTTTATTTTAATTGGTCAAGCAGTGTAAATACTTTAAATACACCTGGGACAAAATTAGTATTGCCTTTGTCTGCTATTTAGCAAATTCTAGAGGATGCTAAAGGAATTCCCATATTCTTTGCTATGGATTTTCTGTAGGATATATAGGTTTTAAAGCCTGCAAAGTGCTTCAGATTTCAGCTGTAGTAAGGGAAAGAGTTCTGAAGGTTGTTGACAAGTAATAAAGCTGTGCTCAAGCCAACAGATGGACACTTTAGGACAGACACTACAGACTGCAAGCACAGAGAATCTTTTTTTTTTTTCTCCCCTTGTTTTTAACATTCTTCATTGGTAGATAATGTTATTGCAGCTTGACCATCCCTCCAGCTATGGATACAGGGGTCGGGACTGTCGCAGCAATCTCTACCTCCTGCCAACGGGCGAGACCGTGTATTTCATCGCGTCTGTAGTTGTGTTATTCAATGTCGAAGAGCAGCTTCAGAGGCATTACACTGGGCATAATGATGATGTGAAGTGGTAAGTCATCTAATAATAGTTCTTTTTTTTCTTCATAAAACAGTATTTGAGATAGATCTACTCATTTTCCTTACTCTTCTTTTAGTATGATTGAACATTATTTTCTTCTTTAGAATCTTCTCCTTGCCTTTTTTAAGTAGAGTTGAATTATTGCCCTTCACCAGGGCCTAGGCACCTGTACAGTTCCTTTAGGTTCAACATAATCAGTAAAATAGTGGTAATTTCACCTGTGGTCTTCCTGGCAGTCTTCAGGCATGCTGACCCTATGGCAGATAGCCTGTAAACTAGACCTGGTTTGTTTGCTGCCATGCACACATGCCAGAATGGGCTTCAGAGCAATTCGAGTGTATTGAAGCTCAGAGGATGCTAGATACCAGCAAATATCAGAATCATCAAATTGAAATCTAAGTAAACATATAGTTTATCTTGATGGTATCAGTCTCCTTGCACAGTGTAGCTGAAAAAGAGCACCTGGATTATCTGATGGGCCATAATGTATGAAACAAGTTTGACAACCCTTCTTTAAATTAGGCATTATGAAATGCCCATTGTCCCTCAAAGCTAAAAATAGGCCTTATAACCAAATCTGCTTGAATTGTGAGCATGTTTCATAAATTTTATTATTTGTGTAATCTGGTTGTTTCACAAGGAGATTTTTTACCTTGGACCTGTTCCATCTCATTTCCTTCTTTCAAATTTTCTGTCTCTAGATATTTCAAAGCTATCAGGTTTACTGGAAAGAGGATGTCTTTCTGGTTTGTAAAGCAAAATGAATTATGGACACAGTTAATTTTGTAGGGTACTTGGCCTCCAGAACTGCATGCAAAGCAGATGCAGTGAAAAAAGAATTCAGAGGATTTAAAATACAAGAGGATGACAATTGTTTTGTCAGTTCTGTTTTTATATTCTTAAAAAGTTTACATGTATGCTGTGTGCTTTATATGACTAAAATAGGGCTATTTATTACAAGATCAAGTAATAGCTTGTTGAAATAGTCAATAGGTTTAAGTTTGGCCTCTTCTTTTCTAGCCTGGCTGTTCATCCTGATAGGATCACTATAGCAACAGGGCAAGTTGCAGGGACATCCAAGGATGGGAAAGTAAGTGGCTGCTTTACTGATGTGTAATTATTTATATTTCATAAGCATATGTTATTAAGAAGATACATGCTGTATTTTTTTCCTTTTGTAATTGGTCTTATATTTTTGGACTGAATGGAAACAAAACTTAATTTGAGAGTTCCCACTGCACACTATCAAAGTTACCCAATTCCATTATCAAGACTGGTCAATGGTTTCTGGTTCCATGACTTAGACTGAAGGTAAATTTGGAGCTGATCTCAGAGAGGCATGGAGGGAGAAGGCTGCAAAGGAGACCTGAGAGGGTGGATGGATGTGAAGGAAAGGAGGACATTGAATTGCATTAAATATGCAGCTTCATTTTTGATCACAGCTACCAAAACTAAACTACAAAGAACAGGTTTTGGTTGTTTCCTGAAAAAAAATAAACTTTTACTTTTGCCATCACCTAGGCAAGAATATTTTTCTCTCTATTGCCACCTCTATTATTGTAAGATTAGCTGTAAGCTGGGACTTTATTTGAGCAGAGTTAAGAACAACATTGCTCCAAAGAGCTAGCAAAAGGGAAAAAGAATGAGAGCAAACAGAGGCAGTAAAAACTACAAGGAAAAAGTTACTCAGCAGAGTATGCAGCTGTTGTCAAAACCAAAATATTGCAAGCTTTTTGGCAGGTGCCAAAGAAGAATTTTGGGACGAAAAGTGAACTATCAATATGATACTGATAGTATTGATCACTGATCAATCAGTATGGATACTGACTACTTTGAGTGTCATGATTTAACCCCAGTCAGCAATTAAGTACCATACAGACACTCATCCACCCCACCACCCCTCAGTGGGATGAGGAGGAGGATTGGAATAAGGACAAGCCCTGTGGTTTGAAATAAGAACAGTTGTTGTAATTGTTATTAAATTTTAATTAAATAGTAGTGACGACAATAAAGACAAGAAAAAGACAGAAATAAGACCCAGGAAAGGTGATGTACAATGCAATGGCTTATCACTCACTGACTGATGGCCAGTTCATCCCCCAGCAGCAATTTTCTTCTCCTGGCCAAATCCCCAGTTTATGTACTGGGCATGATATTCTGTGGTATGGAATATCCCTTTGGCCAGTTCAGATCAGCAGTCTGGACCATGTTGCCTCCTGGCTTCACATGCTGCTCCTCACTGGATGAGCATGGGAACCTGAAAAGTCCTTGGCTTAGGGTAAGCACTGCTCAGCAATAGCCAAAACATCTGTGTTATCCATCTTATTCTTGTCCAACGCATGGCACTTCACCAGCTACTGAAAAGAAAATCGACTCTATCCCAGTCAAAATGAGGACAACGAAGAAAAAAAAAAGAAATCCCAGTCATGCAATATAAGTTTTATATAAAGATAACTTAGCTGAGTAACATAAACTATTAATTTTCATTATGTGTTGGAGCTTTTGTTTTTACTTACCATTGTATTTATGACATAAAACCTAAAGGTTTGAGATCTGTGCTCGAGTGGACATATATAGGTATATAAAATGCCTATGGTATATAGGTATATAAAAGCCGCTTATATAACTGAGGCACTCCTGTGCCCTTCGGGGTTGTTCTATATATATTTATTTATGTTAAAGGAGAATTTGACTGCTTTCACTGAGCCAGACTGCAGCAGCTGCCCGGGGCTGCCCTCTGGTGGCTGAGGGCGGCATCGCGGGGCTCCCGGAGCTCAGGGCAGACAGGGGGAGGAGGGAGGGAGGGAAAATAAAATCTGGAATTTTATTTACAAAAAGCAATCTCGTTCTGATTACGTTTGTATAGAAGAGTTTGAACATAAAGCTATTTTCCCCGGTAATTTTTATAACGTTGAAATTAATTACATTTTAGAAATTCCTTAGCTTCTATTCACACTTTTACCTTTCACATTTACCAGAGTTATCTCAGTTGGTACAGTTTAAACTCTACCTAGGCCTATCAGTAAATCCTATCTCACTAAGTCATCAACAATTTTCAGTTCATGCCAAGTATCTCAGTGGCCATGAACTTCAGTGAACAAATTAGATCTGTGAGATCTGATGTGCTGGACACTCAGAATAGTCAGTCACAGATTTTGGTCCTAGGCACAGGAATCAGCAAACCATTTGTAACGTATCCGTGCTTACATGGGTGACTCTAGGGAAGCTCTGATCATTTTTATACCTTCAATTGTGATTTTTTTTTAGATGCGTTCTCATTTTTTCAAATCCTGATGGGTTTTCTCCATCATTGTTTGAACTGATGTTTTCTGTGTCTGTTTTATAGCAATTGCCACCACATGTGCGTGTCTGGGATTCTGTGACTCTGAATACACTGCACGTCATTGGAATGGGATTTTTTGACCGAGCTGTCACTTGCATTGCTTTTTCTAAATCTGTAAGTAAAGTAAATAAATAGTCATATTAAGACTGTTTGCTGTAAAGATCTTTGAAATCTTTCCAATTCAGGTGACCAAAATAAACTTCCAAGCTGTCTCTTCTCTCAGGTTCATCTTTAGAGGAGGAAAGCTTGCAGCCCAGTTGTTTCCAACAGTTTAGGTTGCTATTAAAGTTAACAATATCTCAGCAGTCTCATAGATTTGCCATATACTTAAAATAAACCGCAATTAATTTCTTCATCAGTTGCAAAAATACTTGTGTACTTGAAATTTCAGCATCCCTAATGTTCTTGAATCATCCTATTCTGTTTCTCCCTACATAAGAAATTTACTCTCTCTGCACCTTTTAACCCTCTCACTGTGTCTAAAATGATTCATGAAAAACTTCTTAAAAATAGAGGTTCCCATAAGAGAATCAAAATCTTTTGCTGAAAAGCAGCAAAGGCATATGGACAAAGGATTGTAAAAAAGTAAAATCCTATTGTTTGCCTCTTGGCACCATCCTTTGAACTCTAATCTGTCAGAGAGATAAAGGAAATATTTACGTGCTGATATAGGCAACATTTGAGTCCCATATAATAACTTGAGTCTGTGACCTGACACGTGCAAGCTGCAAAGCCCTCTGTGTACAACAGAATCTGTAAGTGGTGTCTGGTTGTCTTGACAGCATTTTTACATAGGAGAGGACTAACTGGTGTATTCCCTAGGCAAAATTTGCTTCAGGGAAAGTTTCTACAAACACTTGAAATGCATTGATAACTGTGTTTATAGAAAGTAGAAAAAAGAGGGATGTATTGGGAAAACTAGTTAAGATAAAAAGGTGAAAGCTAACACAGTTTGGCATCACCTTTGAAAGATAAATAAAAGGATTAGTAAGAAAATTCTCTGTAAATACCCCTCTGGAGGGAAATAGATGAATAATAACAGAGGAGCACTCTTAGCATTTGCTGGAAGAAAGCAAGCATTTAATATGTTTGCTTCATCATTTTGGTCACAGCTTGGCCTGTTCTGAGTATCACTTCCCATTCTGTAGCAGCACTTCTCTCACTTCAGACCTCTCTTCAGGTTTCTTGGTCCTGCCTCTGCCCTACCTCGTGGGGTGTTTTGGCACAGTTGTTTTTGTAGCTGTGTCTGCATTGTGGGCTTGAATCATCAGGATAACAACCAGCCAACTTCATATGTAAAAAGACACACCAGAAAAATGGGTACCAACAGGAGAAGGTCTAGGAAATATGATGCATGAAGAAAGAATGAAGGATTTTGGGTAATTAAGATTAGAAAGAGTGATAAACATCACAACTGTGATGTTAAAAAGACATCTGTCAGGAATAAGTTGTTTTCTAGTTCCTTACTATGTTCTCTGATTTTGATCCATTATACTAATATGAAGAATAAAATTGTTTCTTGTATTAACAGACAACAGGAAAGAAATAATAGGTTTAAATTGCAAAGAAAGAATTCCAGTATAGTTACCAGGAAAAGTGTTCTTAATAAAATAGATAACGAAGTGTAGTTTGCCTTTGGAATTTCCACTGCTGAATATTTGTGAAGAGATACCTACCACATTCCTGACACTTGTCTGCAGTTTCTAAGAGCTCCTCTTCTGCGTCCCTTTCAGACATCTTTTCAATGACCCTATAAATTATTATATTTTATAGGCATCTAGCTACAAGTATAACACCTAAAGTGTGAATATGTGTAAATACGTGTAAATATCTCCACTTACACAGAAGTATCTAATTATTTGAAATGTGTATTTGTATGTTACTCATGCTGTTTGGGCGATGCATTAATATTTCCTCATTTATTTTGCCTCAGAATGGAGGAAGCAGCCTGTGCTCTGTGGATGACTCCAACGACCATGTGCTTTCAGTGTGGGACTGGCAGAAAGAAGAAAAGCTGGCAGATGTCAAGGTGTTGCAATAAGATATTTTGTACTACTTGCTTGTATGTTGATCTGGTTTCTTGTAATAAAATGTCTTTCTGTATTTAACTTTTTGTGCCTATTTAACATTTTCACTGTAAAAAAGGCAAGAAACATGAAGAAAGGGAATATTTTCTCTCTGTTAAGATTATCCCAATAGTTATGGATTTTGTAAAATTTTGCTGTTGTTGTTTTTCTAGAATTGCTAAGAAAATTCTAGACAGAAATAATAGGAGCACGTGCAGGAAATATCTTTTTGCATAGAACATTATCTGACATGATTTTTATGCTAAATTATACAGACATAAAATCTTTTGACTACAAAGTATTCCAGTCTATGTTAGTAAATGAACAGGTCAGGACTTTTCTTATATCAGAAGTATCAGTTTACCTAACTAAAGAACCATGTAATATTGCTTTCTTTCCTTTGCATTTTAGATTTTGATACAATGTTTTTCTTTTTCCTTCCAAGTGCTCTAATGAGGCTGTATTTGCTGCAGATTTTCACCCTACTGATACAAATATAATAGTTACTTGTGGAAAATCACACCTTTATTTTTGGACGCTAGAAGGGAATTCCCTTATCAAAAAGCAAGGATTATTTGAGGTAAAATAAAATATTTCTCTAATTTTATGTTTATAGTAATGATACAGTCATACAGAAGTAAGGTTTAATAAGGTTTGAGTAAATAAAAACTAGTGATCATTATGAAACTTGAAATGTTGCAGAAGCTCAGGTGGCATTCATGGTATGGCACAGAGAACTTTTCCATGGGTAAAACTTCTACACTAAAATTTTGAAATTCAATTACCCATTGTTCCTCTTATTTTTTTTTTTCCTGTATTCTTTTTGCTACATACCCTCACCCTCCCAAGCTGCACAAAATAAAATTACCTTAGAACTCTCTGTGATTAATTCAGGTTAAAAAAATAAAAAAATAAAAAAAGGAGAGAGAGCGATGGAGGAGATTTTTATTTTATGAGAGGAAAGACCCCATAAAAATACGTCTGTATGAATTTTGTTCCCTTTTTCTGTGTTCTGCTCAGACAAATGCATAAATGTCATTCAAATACAGATTGAGCTAGCCACTATTTGGTAAATATCATTTTCATTTCAAGGTTTTGATTCGGTTTAAGCTGTACAGCACTTGCACGCACAAATGAGGGATGTTTCCAATGACTGGAAATAACTCCAGTGACTGCTAGTTAACAGCTTGTGGAGTTGTGGTTCCTAAGGATAGTCAGAACAGCTCTTTACAATGTCAGTTTATATATTTTGTGTGAAATCAGGGGGACATGCTGAGAGAATGCATATAAATTTTCTTACATTTTATTTTTCATGCATTTTTAATGGATTTTTCTCTCTGTTCTGGATCTATTGGTCTTGATGATGGTTAGAGCTGGAAAAGGGTGGTGACTCCAGAATAGAACAGCTCTTAGTTTGGGGGAGGAAGAGAACATACACATAGGTTGTCAGCAAGGAATGCATAATGTCCTTAGAAACTACCAGTGATGTTTTGTTCCCTTACACATTTAATTGTTTAGTTGCTGTCAATGTCTTAAATGCAGGGGTTTCATTACTGAAGCTAGGCTTCTTTCAAGAGATGATTCCTTAATTCTCACACTATAGCCAAATCCTCTAGTATTATTTTTTTTTTCTCCTATAAACTTTGGAGTTAAGAATGACAATAATAAAGCTTATTTGAAACTGTGGCCATTTCTAAATACTCAAAGTCTTTGGCATTCTGCAGTAGTTGGGGGATTTGGTTTATCTCAAAACATTCCTGGTCATGTGTTAGATGTTGGTAGGCCTTCTCACTCACTCTATCCCCAGCTTGCAATTAAAGGGTGCAGGATTGGGCCATACACCTCTGCTGATTTATCTTCTGCCCTTACACAGATTGTTCTGTTTAGACTGCAGGAATGTGTTTAACTCTTGTAGTTATTTAAGTAATACTAGAGGCTAAAGTATAAGGCTAAAGTAAATTAACCAAGTGCATAAAGTTAAAATCCATGGGTTGTGTGTTGCTGTGAATGTATATTTTTCATAACCATGCAGAAACAAGAGAAGCCAAAGTTTGTCCTGTGTGTGACCTTTTCTGAAAATGGTGATACTATTACAGGAGACTCAAGTGGAAACATTTTGGTTTGGGGGAAAGGTAAGATAAAATTTCACTATTAACTTCTATCTTAATATTGGACTCTGAGTGTAGAATTGAGTGTAGAGCCTCAGTTCAAAAAGAATAAATTTTGTTTTATCTTGAGCTCTTTCCCAAGACCCATCCAGCAGATTGTACCTGGATTCCTTTATACAAGAAGCTAAAGAATATCTATACCTAACTGCTAGAGCACAAAATTCCATCAAATATGTTCCCTATGGTCAAATACTGAACCACTGAGCTGTGCCAGCATGTGGGGCTTTTACTGATGTAAGAGATGCCAAGAAAAGTTCTTTAATCACTGTATAGAAAGAAATGTTGTTAATGTAACTGATGCTCTCCAGTCTCCTATCCTGTCCCTCTCTACTGTTTGCAGAAATTATGCCAATTGACACACGTTTTAAAAAAGACAACAAATAGCAGTATTTGTTTTCCTTGGAAGTCAAGCTAAAATGTATTCAGATCTAATTGAATTCCTCAGCTTTATTTCAGAGGAGCAGATGGATAGAAAGAACTTCTTAGAAAGCATTTTCTAGTAAGAAGAGACCTTTCTTTAGGCAGCAGAAGCCAACGCCTGCTGGAGGGCAAACAGCAGCAACATCCTAAACGTTTACTTAGTGCCTGAGATGTCGTGCATCGGAATAAGGAGAATCTCTTAAAAGAGGCCTTATTAGTTAAGGAAGAAGGGATATGGATGACAGCTTTTTTCCTGTTTACTCAGTGCTTTCTCCCAAGATACTACTCAAAGGGGTAGGACCCTGAAAACAATAAGTGAATCAGTTACATAGCTGAGCCTCACTGAGCTGTTCCTGTAGGTTTGTTTTCCAATGAAGGACTGTCAGCTAATTATCTCCTTGGCCACTGCATTGCTGAGGACAGGAGTGGATATGGTGTTTTCAACTTGGCTTCTCATTTATTTCTCTTTCCTTTTTCCTATGATAATTTAAAGAAAGGCACTTCAGACTTTTCCTTCTAAGCTGACTTTAGAAATTGCACTGTCCCATGTCCCTATTCTTCATTGTTATTTTGGACTGCCAGCAGACAAGGGAGACAGGGACAGTGAACTGCTCAGGGGCCAGTTTGCCATCATGCTGGTAGACTAATTTCTATCTTGACTGCAAGCAGTTTCTGCCCTTTCTCCCAGAAATAAATTCTCAGTATGCTCAAGATCTCAACTTCTGCCCATTCTTTAAGGTTGGACAAAAATATTTTGCTTGTTTTTCTGTCTCAGTACAATGTACTTTCTAAGTCTTAACTACTTTTGGCTCAGAGTTCTATGTGCAAGAGAGGGCTGCTTCCACCAGGTCAGAGTACCCTTAACAAAAACTTCTCTTGATAGGAATATGTTGTACCTGACACGTTATATCCATAGACATGGATGAAGGAAAAGGCAATTCCTTTTTCCTAACTTAGATCAGCTCCTCACTTGTGATAAACATCAAGCTTTGATGCAAGGTACACATTTCAGTAATAGTAATAATTTATTTGTACTTAATAATATTAATGATTCACCAAATTAGAGATACTTACTCCAATGTAATTGGTTTTGATGGTGTTTAGACTAAGAAGCTACTTGAACAAGCCAAGCTCATCAATAAAGAAATACAGGCTCCTCTGGAGAGTGATCAGTGCATTCTGTCAGATACACAAGGACCTCTAGCTTGGTCAGACTTTGGTACAAATTCAGGATCTGGAGGCTGTAGAATATCTTTGGAGGATAAAAGTGACTGGGTTACAGGGTTTTTGCTAAGGTATGTAGTGCTACTGCAGGTCAAATTATTTTGCTTAAACCCCCTTGAAAGGTTTAAATGAACCTATTTTAGTTTGTCCTTGACTTAGACTGAATATGTACACTTTTCATTTTTGAGATGGGAGAGAATATATCACAAGATGCTCTAATCCAGCCTCTTCTGTGGGTCTGTGTGTTTTGGCCCAGCACCCCATGCCCACTGTTGTCACTGTTTAAATGCAATCCTTATGAGAATGTAGAGAAACCGAGAAAATAAATGGGGAGAAAGGAGCTATTAAGCTGAGTATTTCAGTAGTAATGCCTTTTTAAATTCTATTCAGGTACCAACAGAATAAGCCACGCAGTTCAAGGAGCACACGAGGGTGGAATATTTGCACTGTGTATGCTGCGAGATGGCACACTGGTATCAGGAGGTGGAAAAGACCGAAAGCTGATATCTTGGAATGGAAATTACCAAAAAATTCACAAAACTGAGGTGATATTGCCTACCTTGAAATTACTCTGCTGCTTAAAATGAAATTCTCTTTTCCTCTGAGCAGCATTTTTAATAAATTATTTTTCTTATGAATATGTATTCTATGGAAAATCAGATCAATGGTAAAATACAATGTTTTCGTATGCTGAGTTGGAAGGGACCCATCAGGATCATCGAGTCCAACTCTTGGCCCTGTACAGGACACCCCAAATTTTCAGTCCTCAGGTCATTCCTGTGATTCCCTATTCATTAACATAGTATTTTCTTTCTAAGTTCTATGGTAACTGGAAAATAAATCTCATGTTCATATCTTCCCATATTATTTCTTCCTTTTTTTGCATTTAATAATGTGATGTAATGTTTAACTTCAAAGTATTACAGTATTGAAGTGGTTTTGTACTTTTCTCTTCCCCAAAATGATGTGAGGATTTTTTGAGGGTTTTAATACTTAAAGTTTTTCATTAATTTCTTGGTTGATGTTGTTGTTTTTTAAATGTAATTAAAATAAAATCTAGCTGCTATGTAGGAACTTAAAAGATTAAAGCAGATTTTGTTTGGACAGAAATACTTTGACTGTTTACATACTGAATGTAAGAGAAGAATCAGCAGAAAAGTCTGAGGAAGGGCTTCAACTCTATAATATTAAATAATAATACCATAACATAATAAATAATAATATTTAAAGTTGCAAACATATATGCAACTGGAATGGCATGTCTGTTTTTTTGTAATTCAGTTTTTAACACAGAACAAGGGACATGCTTCTTGTGCTGTTTCTAATTGTGGTGTCCATTTTCTCTTATTTGTTCGTATTCTGGTATTCCTTGTTATTTCACATCTCCCCTTGAACTTCAATATTGAGATTTGCACTGGCTCTTTCAGAACCTAGGCTGCAGTTAAAGAAACATTCATTGCAGGAGAATGCTCTAAGTAGAAATGCTTAGTCTGATCTCACAGTTTCAATTAAATACTATTGAATTAACACAGCATGAGGGAACCTTTTGTGTTTCTTGAAATATTTGGTTTATCTGAGTATTCTGTAGATAAGAATGTCTTGTCTTGCAGAGTTATAGAAGCCACTGAGCTGATGCAAGTTGTTATAAAGTTTTGCAAGACAGGTACATGTTTAATTCAGCAAATTGTTGAAACAATTTGTTTCATTCCTTCACTGTGCAATATTTATTAAAACACATTTACTAGACCACATATCTTTCAAAATGGCAATATCTGACAAATTGTCTGACTTATCTCTCCTTTTGTCTGTTATGACCACAGATTCCAGAGCAGTTTGGTCCAATAAGAACAGTAGCAGAAGGAAAAGGGGACGTTGTATTAATAGGAACCACAAGAAACTTTGTCCTACAGGGCACGCTGTCAGGAGATTTTTTCCCAATTACCCAGGTAAGCTGGGTTTCCTTACAGGAACACTTCTAAGTATGTAAGAGCAGTAAATATCCTGTTTGAAGTTAATTTTCACGAATATCCATCTATTGGATTTATTATTACACTACTTGCAGCAGTAAGAATCATTATAAATATGTATCTATCAAAGCTACCATGTTTTTGGAATGTTTTAATATAGTTTGGTCATTTTAATACAGTTTAAACATGTTTAGTTTTGATGGCCTGTCCTTCTTGTCTAAAAACATCTCTGTTTGCATAGGGTCACACTGATGAGCTTTGGGGACTTGCAGTCCATTCCTCTAAGCCTCAGTTCTTCACATGTGGACATGACAAACACATTACACTCTGGGACGCAACCACTCACCATCCTATCTGGGACAAGATTATAGAGGTACAAATTTATTGAATATAGCTCTCCTGTTACGGAAATTCTCTAGTCATTTTGGTTTTTCTTAAGATTATTGCTTAAAAATACCTTAAAATATTAATTTGAGGGAAAAAATAATTTCATGTTAGCTTGTTTTTTTCATAGAGATCAATGTAAAAGCTTTTTAATGTTGCTATCCTGAGTTCAAGTTAGATTAAATGCACTGTTTGAATGTCTAGTTTATTCAATGAACTATCTTAGCATTTGCTGTGAAATTATACTTTAAAAAACAAGGAAATTTTCCTTTCTGGAATTCTGTAGTGTTTTAGAAGCTGTGCATAGAAATCCTGCATCTCAGCAATTCTCTGAAATTTTCTTTAGAGTTAGTAATTCTTTTAAATTAGTCACTTGCTTATAATTAATGAGAATATCCTTTCCACCTAGTCCCTAGGTCTAGTAATTACCAATTACTAAAAATGTCAACAGATTTATTGAAAGAGCTTCAATGTCATACTGTTTTAAAATACAGAAAATTAAGGAAACAAGCATTTGCATGAAATGGATCACTGGACTGGGTTTTTTGCTTACATTTAAAAATTATATTTTAATGGTATGAGGATTAAAAAAAAAGCTATATTGATATTTTCTGCTATAACCTGAAAAGTTCTGGACTTCATTCTTTATAACTGGTCAAGTATTAGAAAGAAAATGCTTACCTTGCTTTTAGGCATATATTGAAATGGCAAGAAAAACACTAGAGTTTAATAAAGTAAAATGTTTTAAAATTGTACATCCAAATAAGAAACCCAGTTTAGGCCCTTAATCTCCCACTGAGCTGCAGTTTGACAGGTGCTGGACAAAGGCGTTGGTGTGTGTAGGAGTCAGGCTCTATCCCTCCTGCAAAGTGCCACATACCTTTATTGAATAAGGAACTTGCTTGTCCTTCAGATTGTGGGTAAACTGCAGCTTTGATACTTAATTCTGAGGTCAGCTCTAGTGTAAAAAGTTATTTTTATCTCTTCTTTGTGATTTGTTGAGAAGCTGTCATTGCCCATGTTATTGTTAAGAAATTACTTGCCAAATTATTTTTCAGTAGTAAAGAAAACAGTGGCCTTGTATACATGGAAAAGAAGTTAATTGAATAATTTTTAAATTAATTAAAAATGTTTTTTTACCCCTCAAGTTTATACTGAAAGAGAAAAAATTACTCCTAAAAATCAGCAAGATAGTTTTACTATGTTCCAGAGGCAGATAATTGAATTGTACTTTTGTTATAACTTGATAACTTGGACTAATAAAAAAACGTGCTTCTTTCTGAAACATTTCAGGATCCAGCACAGTCTTCAGGTTTTCATCCTTCAGCATCTGTTGTTGCAGTAGGGACACTGACTGGAAGGTAAGAGGTGCAGAGCTACACCTTGGGCACCAACAAACACTGACTTTTCCAGCTCGTATCCAAGTTCATGTTCTGACTTTACAGGTGTATGCAATGACATATCTTCATTCCCTACTGATTTCTCTTGGATGTCACAGTGAAATTTATTTGTTTTGCCTTAGTGCCTAGAAACCCTCGGCTTGGGCCAGCACCCTGTGTTTGCTGAGTGTTGCATGAACAAAGAGATGATTTCTGCCGTGGCAGAGAAACAGTGTAAGATCAGTGGGAGGGGGACATTTAGAGAGGGCAGGAAGTCTAGCTTAGCTCTGAGACCAGGCATGGGAAGTACTGTCACCATACCAGTGACCTAAATGTTAAATCTTTGTGTCCACTGGGAAAAAGGAGAGGACAAAGGAGTCTGATATACTGGGCTAACTTTGCAGATATGGAGGGAAATTTTCTCCAAGGCCTTTGGGCTGCATGGAAGAAATCACATAGAAACATTTTGTGTATTGGAAAATGTAACAAGCGGTTTGTGATCCCTAATGCAGTAAACCAGAGGCTTTAAAAAATTTAGCGAATGTGCTACACCTAGTGTAAAAATGCACATGAAGATACTTGTTCTGCATGGAGAGTGTGAGGGATAAACAAGGCAGGGGAAACTGAGGTGCAGGAGAGTATTTTAGACAGCAGGTTGAGCCCTTGGTGACATCAGTGGCAGCTGCTGGGTTTATCTGTGGTTGTCTCTCATAGGAGGGACTGCCTTTGCTTAACTTCTCCCTCTCCTTTAATGTCACTTGAGGGCAGACTTGGCTGTTGGTACTGAAAAGAGTTCCAGTTCACTGAGAACATACAGGAAGCTTGTAGGTTATTCCAGATTTTATATCAGCCCTAAATAAAGGATTTGCTTTTGTTACTGAATGTACTTCATTTACTAAATATAGTAAAACAAAAGGAGAAGCTTTGACAGGAATCTTCTTTTTGTCTTTAGTAATTTGACGCAAGTATTGAAATGTAAATTTTATCTTTGTTCTTTCTACATGTTTCCACAAACTAATTTTTGGTTCATTAAAATTAATTAATTAAATAAAACTATGGAAACAATAATGAATTAATTAACTTTAAAATTAATTAATTAATTAATTAATCTCTTTCTTCTATCAGAAGAGAATGGTCCTGATGCTTGCTTGTGTTTTCCCTTGCCCTAGGATTTAATGCAGGCATCAATTTAAACATCAGCATAGCACACAGGAAGGTCTTTAAAGGAGAAGGGACATCACAGGCAATGCTTACTTTATTCTTATGCATGATATATTAAAACACACTAAAATCTGATATTGGGGTCAATGCCTGAACATTTTTGTGGTTAAAAAAGATGTGAAGGAAACTCTCCTTATGTTAAAGTAAAAATAGACCAAACTAAGTTACAGTTGCTGTTTTTCTCTTCTTGGTATAAAACTTATGCTATTTTGACAGAAGCTGGTCAAGATCACAGTAACTTTAAATTCCTTATGGAATGATTTATTGGCCTCTTTCTGTGTTTACAACAGGTGGTTTGTGTTTGACACAGAAACAAAAGACTTGGTCACTGTACACACAGATGGAAATGAACAGCTGTCTGTAATGCGTTATTCACCAGGTTTGAGAGCATTTATTTACTGTGGAAAAAAAAAAGACGTTGAATTTTTTTATTAAATTAGTGGTTGGTTTGTTTTAAAATAAGTCTCTGCTTGCCATACTGAAGTTGGAAATAAGTGTGGCATGAAACATTGGCAGGACTTTATGGGTGGTGTCTTAAGCTCTGGTTTTGTTTTCCCTCCCTCCCCAACACACTCAATATGTTTTCACTGTGAAGAAGGGGAAAAAAACCCAAAACTTAACTCTGCAGGCTGTTGTAATTGGGTTAGCCTGAAATGGACTATAGCTGCTTCCAGAAATGTTATGTGTTTTTAACAGTAATATTTGTTAGTATAAAATTGCTGCTTTTTAGTCTTGATAGATACATCAACATGCAACTGGAAAAGTAAAAATATAATTTCATTTATTCATTTTTCAGTATCAAGGCCTTTAAAAACAGTTCCTCTTGTCTGTGACATACAAACTTTTTAAGATTAGCCTAAGCTCTTTCTTATAGGAATAATTGCAGTTTCACTTTTGTGTTTATAGATGGAAACTTCTTAGCAATAGGTTCCCATGACAACTGTATTTATATATATGGTGTAAGTGAAAATGGAAGAAAGTACACTAGAATTGGCAAATGTTCAGTAAGTAATCTTTTTTCTCCACAAGTATCAACACCCAAAGTGCATTTTGTAGCACTGTATTAATGTTGTCACATTGTGGCACATTATTAGTGCAGTTAATACAATACTTTTTCTTTTGTAGGGTCATTCCAGCTTCATTACTCATCTGGATTGGTCTGTTAATTCACAATATCTTGTGTCTAATTCAGGAGACTATGAAATCTTATACTGTGAGTAAGAATTATATTTAGTCCTTTAGTGCAAAGTTCAGTCAGTCTAATACAGATTTAAAATTTAAATGAGACCATATAACTGCCAAGATCAACCATATGTTTTAATTCATCTGGTGTAATCAGAAATCTATATGATCTGAGAATTAAATATGTTGTTAGTGGGGTATTTTTCTTTTGTAGGGATCCCCTCTGCTTGTAAACAAGTTGTGAGTGTTGAAACAACTAGGGATATAGAATGGGCCACTTACACCTGTACTTTAGGATTCCATGTTTTCGGTAAGTATATTTCCTCTTACAAGCTCTTACCATGCTTCTTATTAACAAACACTTGTAATGCCAACTTTTGCTTATGAAACATGACTATTCATAATTCAGGGAAAAATACAGAACTTCTGTTATGCCATTTTTATTACAATCTGTCTTCTTATTTCAATCCAGAAAGATTCTGATTTAATATTCTTGCTAGCTGCAAGTACAAATATCATTAGAACATAAGTGGGTGATAAGGAAAAAATCACATACTGCCCTTTCTGTCACAGTAGAGCAGCTTCTCATAATTTTTAATTTGAAGTACCAGTTCTGTGAAATTGTCATGTATTTAGGCAGTTACTGGGTCGAATCCCCTTACCAGAACTGGTTCCATTTGCTCTGATTACTGTGCAAACACAAAATTGATAAGTCTTTCTCATTAAGAAGTTATCATGCATTGTGATACAGCCTGTAGCAATTAAATGGAGTGAAAGAAATTTATTTAAAAAGAAAAATATAACAAAATCTAATGGTTTGTTTCTATGGGACTTCTCTTTTGCCAGTTTTGAAGGATCCAGTTTCCCCAGCGTAGTCTGGAGCCTTGTACTCATTCTATAATATGTGCAGAACTGGATAGATGGTTACAAACACTGAGTATGAGAAGCTTCAAACTCTTGAGTCCTCAAGAGGAAATAGGAAGCCATGGTAGAAGTTCAGAGAAGGGTCTAGTTTAGTATAAGTGGTAAGCAAGGAATATTTGCAGCCATGTTTCAAGTAGAATAGATTGCAGTGATGTGTTTGAAGGCAGCCATAAAGGACATGTTTTCAGTGCCTGAAGATGCTATGGCAGTAGCAGTATGCTGGGAAAACACGTTCAAATTTTCTGTCATTTAGCTGACAAGCAGTGCTTGGATATCACTTGGATATCACAGCATGCAGATTAAGTAAAAGCAGGAAATTCTGGAAGATTGGCTGCATGTTGGCATAATGTATTTTTCATTTAAGGGATAGAGGCCCTTAAGGAACTATAAAAATATTTCTGGGGTTTGAGTACACCCTACACATAGTTACAGAGCTACAAAGTCTTTGCATTTAACATCACAGGTTCAGATACTCTGAGATACTAAATACTTTATGTGAGGGTTCCTTACTTTTTAATTCAGACTCCTGCAATATACAGTGCTATTATAATCTGGGGCTGCTTTTGGTGCATAGAAAGTCAGAGGAGAGAGGCATATCACACTTGAGAGGGATTCTTCCCATTCCTTGCAACAGATCAGCTTTTTGAGACGAAATAATCTATGGAGGGGGGAGGAGAGATGACTTTGCTAAAGCTGAAGTGTTACAAAACCCAACACTTTAAAAATATTTCTTTAATAAAAGACATACTACAATTTGATGATAAACCCAGTTAATGTCTACTGCTTTCAGTAGGGAAGGAGTAGTTTTGAAAGTTGAAATAAGTCAGGTATTTTCTAAGTATTTGAGTGTGATCAACCTCGTTGTATCGGTAAAAACAATTGGTTACTGTCATCATGAGACCTTTAGTACTTATTTTCAACACCTCACAGAGAACAGGCAAAGTACTGAGAAACTGCAGAATGAATGCAATATCTGCAGGATCATATATCTACACCTTCAGAGCCTATATGGAGAGGCTAAAGAGCAGGGTGGCTAGAATAATATATTGAAGAAGCACATAGATAATGAGTTGGAAACCAAACCATTTTTATTGGAAGTCCATCTGTACTTTGGGGCCTCAGAGCAGACAGTTAGAACAGTCTTCACACGCTTACTGGGATTGCTTCACTGGACACAGAAACTGCAATCACAGCATCCAGGATGTGAGGCTTCTAGTGTATTGATTGTTCAGTAGCTATGGCTGACTGAAACTAGGGATGTTTCCTCTCTCTGGTAGAACCACATAAAAATCCCAAATTATGCATAGCACATGCAGATCAGCATAACCAATGCAGGGGGAAAAGGGAACACTGGTCCCTTGAACACCTGTCTTTGAGCATGGGAACAGATTAGTCAGTCTGGAAGAGTTTAGAGATGATTCAAATGAAAATCAATATCATGTAAAAAATTGTGCTTGAGGGAGGATGTTTTAGTGACACAAACACATAAATGTGAAGGAGCAAAGACTTTAAAACACTTACTGATCTATAAGCTCTTTCAAGAGCCATGTGCTGCTGGATACACAAGTAAGGTATCAGTTCATAGCACATGTCCAGTTTTGAAAAAAATAGCATTTGAGGTCAAGGACAGGAACAGAAGAAATCTAAGATACTCTACAAAGCCTGATAATGTTTCAAGCAAAGCAGAGGTCAGACTGGTTGTATTCAAAACCAACTAGAACACTGTAAATTGAATATTATGTTTGTTTGAATATATTTACTAATAGCATGCGTGATAAATCAGCATGTAAAGTTTTTAGGTGGTGTAAAGCTGCAGGATTAGCAAGTTGTCTCGAGAAACAGCAGAGTGGTGTGAAAAAAGGAAGGAATTCAATAGAGCCAAAGAGGAGGCTCCTCACTAGAATGGCAGAACCCAGTTGTACAAATGCAGAACAGATGAGAGCAGATCTGTACAGAAGGATCAGATTACTCTTGCATACAAACTAAACATGAGTCAACAGCATTATGCTGTTGTAGGAAAGGAAGATACATTAGTGGGATGTGTAATGAAAGGGATGTCATGCAGAATGTGAAGCTGAAGAATGAAATCATCCATTTATCAGTATTGGCTTCAGTCACAGCTGGAATGGCTGCTGCTGTTTTTTGCGCATTGGACCAACAGATAATGTGCTGACTAGCAAGAATAATTAATTATCCATCTAAATATTGTTCTGAGAGAAGAGAGTAATGAATGAATTCTAGAGAAGAGGAGGAGAAAATAGCATGGCATCAGTCTTCAAATGAGAAAAAGGAAATGGCCTTTTACAGGTCTGTAGAGGATGGGAAAAAAAAAAGGACTACTTTTTCAGCAAGGGGGATTCAATTTGCATATTCAGAAAAACTGAGGCAATGGAATAAATTTTGAAAGAACCAAGAGATTCAAAGAAAAACCATATTATTATCCTTTCCCCATTTCAAAATAGCAGTCTTGTTTCTTTAACCATTTACTTCAGGGGTTATTTCCAGCTTGTCATAGTGACCTCTTGGGAAGGCTCCTGCCTCTTTTCAGCTAGCATTTGATATTCATATAGCCTTCTTCTTGTCAAAGCAGATATTTAAAAAAGCTTTTCTGCATCTCCTTGTTCTGCATATTCATAATTCCAGGAGTAGCAATTATCATGTTTCTTTGCAGCTTCCATTCCTTTGGGCCTCTTTCACTATCCTTGATCTAGCAATGCAGTGTTTCCACACACATCAGGAAAGTTAAGAGCAGTCTACAAATCAGACCTTGCATTTTATTTATAGCAATTTCTAATTCCTTATAAAGACATGGAATCACCTCCTGGTGGTGAATTGCTGTGCAGCGATACAAAGGCTGTATTTGGGAAGAATCCCAGTGACTGAAGGATAGCAGTGCATGGCAAATGCCTGCTGTGGGGTTAGAAGTATCCCAAAGAAGGAGGAACTGGAGTGTGCCTCAGGATTTCTTAGGGGAATGGCAACTCTCTCACCCTGATCTGCAGCAGCACCAGAGGAGGAGCATGTGCTCGAGTGGGCAGGGCTGCAGGGACACACTGCAGGGGCACCCTGCAGAGGACAGGTGACATGGGGACAGGTGTCACTGTCGGACTCAGCTTGAGGTGGAAAGAGGAAGAAGAGTTTATTTGTTCTTTCACTATTTATAGTTTTCCGACAATGACCAGGGATTGGATAGTCAGGTCACCCCCTTCCCAACCACACTGGCAGTGAGAGACGTCCATCAAAAGGCATATCTTTAATGGAATGTATAAACACCTATGTTTATAGTTACCTTCCTGGGAAAGTGGCTAGAGATTATGAAAACAATATCGAAAGGCCTGATTCTCAGGGCAACAGACAGGCACTGAAAATCACAGAGCCAAGACTTGGCAGGGGTTTTGCCAAGTCATAATGGCAGAACACGCAGGATAACAGAAGGTGACAGTGGTCTCTGAAAGCTTGGTGCCCTTTATGTTGAGTAGGAATTAGGTAAAATCTAAATTAGAAAATCTTAACCAAAAAAACCCTACAGTACTGTGTACAAAGTCCTGAAATTTCAGTAACTGGAAGGATTTTAGTAAAATTGAAATTTGTTACAGGCAAGTACTCGGAGGCTTTAAAGAGGTGGTGCACAGATATGGTCTCTGCACTGTTGAACCTTACAGTTTGATTTTAGGACACTACTTTGTGCAAGAACATCAAAGAGTATGTGGGGAAGGAAGAGAAGTACTTACAGTAGAACAAAAGCATTTAAAAACCTTACAGTAGGTTCAGTTCCTTTTTAAGGGACTTATTAATTAATAAATAATAATTTAAACTATATAACGTCTTTTTTCATAGATTTTAGACTTTAGTAATACAAAGAAATTACATCTTGATCACACTCTAGTCTAAAAACCACACCCATATAATATGAAAAACGTGTGTTAACTCTTATATAAGAAGAAGAGAAAATAAAAGCAGTAACTTACTTTTCCACAAAGCCATATGAAAATTCTTTCAGGCTCAGACACGACTGTAATTCAGCAAAATTCATCTTCTCAGAATAAAAAGCACTTTGTTGACTAGAGGGAATAAAGCAGTTTTTTATGTGCTTGATTACCTATTAGGATCTGGAGTTTAGCTGGTATGGAAATACACATTCTGAGTCAGATGCAGTTATTTTTATAGGTTTTTCTTTTCCTTAAACAAGTCATCCTTTATTAATATTTTTAACAGAAACTTAGGCTGTCACTTTTATTTCCATTATAAAAGCCTTTAATTAGTCCCTCTGTGTTTCAGGTGTATGGCCTGAAGGTTCAGATGGTACAGATATCAACGCTGTCTGTCGATCCCATGGGAGAAAACTGCTATCGACAGGAGATGACTTTGGCAAAGTACATCTCTTCTCATATCCATGCTCACAGTTTAGGGTAAGCCATTTCCCAAAAATTTGCTCTTGTACTTTGCACAAATGCATTAAATGTTGTTTTCCTATGAACAAATAAACCCAAGCACATCAAAGCAGGAAGAATGAGAGTATTTATACATCTAAGGGATTTATTTAACGTTGATTGAGACAGCAATTAAATTTAAAAGTTAATTTAATATTAAAATACTTAATAGAAAGATGTGATACCTTGGTTTCATTGTTGCATGCATGTTCTAACGAGATGCTTTTATGACAGCTGCTATTCTCACTAATGTGGTGTTTTCTAGGCTCCAAGCCATGTGTATGGTGGACACAGTAGTCATGTAACTAATGTAGATTTTCTCTGTGAAGACACCCATCTCATCTCCACAGGAGGAAAGGACACAAGTATCATGCAGTGGCGAGTCATTTAAAGGAAACATCAGCATGAACATACACAGTTGAGTCGACCATGCACAGAACTTATGTATAAACTGTATATTTAAAACTTAACAGTATGTTTGCAGTTTAGCCTGGTCACTGTGATTTTTGTTTAAAAAATTCTTACAAACCTCAGGAAAATTAAGCCCTGTGCTGGTTACCTTACTCAGTCTAGTATTTTTTTTTTCAATGTGTCACACCTTAAGATTGATTGTTCTCTGTTGTACAATATACAATGCAGTACAAGTTTAATATAAGAAATGTGGCTTGACAGTTTGCAATACAGTGGTATCAGCAGAATGTGACTATCTTAAATGTTTTCTATAAACACTGCTAAACTGGTCACAAAAATGCCTTTCAAAGACTGTATATATGTGCTTATTCGTTTCACTATCTACACTTTGTACTATATATCTACTTATGTAGAAAAATCTATGACAATGTCAAGGTACTGAACTGTTTCTGCTGGAGGCTGATAAATAGATACAAAAAGTATAAACTGCGATGTAAGATGCAAGAATTAGTGCTTTAGACCTGAAAATGTGAATGCTGGTAAATTTGCATTCTCTTGGGAGCAGCACACCGTGGGTGTCACCCATGAGGAGTTGTGTTCCTTTTCCAATGAATCAGCAGGCTTTGTCCCAATTTGACCTGAATTTCTCAGCAGGGCTTACAGATGTCTGTGTGGTTCAGGTAGTCCATATGAGTTTAAATTAAAAATCTTTTTACTTGTATATGAAAAATTTCTTTTTGAAAACAAACCAATAAAGCTAGGCCACGTCCCCATTATTGGCTCATATATTTAACTAATATGTATATTAATCAGCATGATGCTATATTGTACATGTATAAGATTTTAGCAGTTCATAACAAATGGTAAGGCCATGTAGCTTTACTTTTTTATGCTTATGGATATTGTATATTTGTATTTTAAGACCAAGTAGACCAAGTCTAAAGATATCTTTATAAGTGTACCATAAACCTGCAGAGGTTAAAGGAAGACTTGGAAGCCTACATGAAATATTAATGTGTAACTTCTGGCCCCTGTGTTTTGTGCATGGATGGGTATTTATAGTATGAAATAAGATTGTGTTTTGCAATTAAGTAACAGTGGAGGTGGTATAAAATGGTTAAGAAGGCCTTATCAATGTTGATTGTGACACAGATTGAAATGTATTGTTTACTATGAGGAATGTATCTGAAGAATTTTAAAAGAGGAGTTCTACGTGGACTCAAAAAAGGTAATATTAAAATTTTGCTTGTAACTGACAGTAAATGTTAATTCTCTGAACTCTAAAGCACTGGTTGTTTAGAGTGATTTAAATGAAATTGAACCAATAAATTTTGAAACTTTTTTATTACATCTCCAACCTCCTACACTGAAAGTGCAGGACACCAATAAACATGTATTAAAGTCAATTCTCAATGCATTCTTCCTGTTTAGTAAGGTGTCTTTGTTTAAACATGATATAGAAGAGACAGGCTTTTAGTTAACAACACACATTTGTGATTTCTCGACTAGAGATGCATTTGAAAATATTTGGCAGTAAAATCTAGATTTTGGGGTACATAATTTTATGTGTGCCCATGACCCTGGGGACATAATGACAATGCATACTCAGAGAGTAAAGCTTCAGCTTTGCAGCAGGGAAGGATAAACCACATGCTCTCACCTACAAACTGCCTTGGTCCTGCCTCCCAGCACACATCTCATGTTTCTGGGTACTCAGCTGGTGGAATGTTGTTCCACTGCTCAGTTATGCTCATGGCAAGTGCTCCTGATGATTTCTGTGTTAGGAACTTGTCCTCAGGCAAGACCTTTGAAGGCCAAGGTTTCAAGGTCACTTTAACCTGATGTTACCTGGCACTGTCACGGAAGGCAGAGGTCTTGATCCCAGCTGCTTACACTGATCCCGTGCAGCAGCACAAGAGTTATTGTGGCCATAAGCAGAACCCGGCTGGGACACAGCAACTAATGCAGACAAGAAGCCTGTTTCCTCACCTTCTGATCTAGCTGTGCAATGTGGAAAAATAAATGGCCAGAGAAGCACTGGAACAACTTCTTCTAATAGTGATGTTAATCTCCCTCTTCTTGAAGTGTGTGAAGCTGAGGCACAATACCCTTAGCCTTTCTAAGGTTAATCCAGTCATAAGACTCCATAACACACAAGTGACAGGTTTTCATTGTGTCTGGCTGCTTGGTTATCCACAATATCTTCTGTTTGTTGATTTTTAAATTTTGTTTTTAAATTTGCTTTTGCAAATGGGGTGCTTTCAGGTCTTCTAATTTTGGAACTGTTGGTGATTTGTCATTACTTGTAGCAGAGAAAACAGGAGCTGCAAATTGGCTTGGCTTGTTCCCTTTTCATCCTTCTCACATGGTGCTACTCTCTGGATATAGTAAAGTATTTGTGATCCCTTTCTTCATTTTAAACTGTTATCCTTTAGAA